AGCTCATTTGCTGCTCTTATAGAACACTCTACTTTGATTCCAGCATCATACATAGCAGCTCACAACTGTCTCTAACTCTAGTTCCACAAGAGCTGACACATTATTCTGGTCTCAAACACAGTAGGCATGTACGTAGTATATGCAGGCAAATACTCATCACACACATAAAATTAAAATAAGTAATTTTTTTTAGATATAGCTGAGAAAGCAGTAAATAATGCTAACTTCTAGATGAGAAAAAACTGAACAGACATGTTATTTTTGCAACTTAAAAAAATTAATAATAATAATAATAATAATAATAATAATAGATAATTTTAAGCTCTTCTAAAATATCAACATAAAAAAAAAAAAAAAAAACCTATGTTAACTCAGGAGGCAGAGGCAAGTGGATCTCCATGAATTCAAGGCCAGCCTGGTTTACAAAGCTAGTTCCAGGACATGCAGGTCTGTTACACACACACAAAAAAAAAAACCTTGTCTCCAAAAACTAAAAACAAAACAAACAAAAAACAAAACAACAAAAACTATGTTACAACTATGTTACCCTTAAAGAAATAGTGGTTCTTCATAAAGTCAAGTTTTGTTGCTTTTTAAATTCATATGGGTACTTTCCCTTCATGTATGTATGTGTACCATGTGTATACTTGGTGCCTGTTGATGGCAAAGGGGAGTCAGATCCCCTGGAACTGAAGTTACAGATGGTGTGAGCACCATGTATGTGGGTGCTAGGAATCTATTCAGGTCCTCTGGAAAAGGTAGCCAGTGCTCTTAACCACAGAGCCATCTCTCTAGCCCCAAAAGGTTTTATAGACCATTTCTTTTGTAGATTCTTTAAGGCTTTTAAATTGTCCCAAAAAAAAAAAAAATCATCCTTTAACCATACCTTACCATGAAGAAAAAGCCCTACCCTTGAAAGACTAGACCTTAAGGTCTACCAGATTTTTCCTATCTAGTTCCTTCTGAGTGTACGAGATGAGTCCCAGATTTTGAAGTCAAAAGCTTTAAAAATTCTGCTTAATATGTAACATTCCTTCACTCAGAGTAAACAAAACCATCTGAAAGATAGGTCTCATTCATGTTAAGTCCAGAAAGCTACTTGGGTGCCCCCTAGGGAGCAAATATTTAAAATGTATATAGCTTCAGGATACATTAATAACTTCTGTCATCAATATTTATTCACAAAGTACCCACTATGTGCTAGGTACAATGCTCAACAACAGAGACAAAAAGATAAATAAAATCAAGTTTCTATTTTTATATTCTTAAATTTAATCTCATTCAAAACTTTTCTAAGCACAGTATAAGTCTTAAGGAAGTATGCCACAGATAATAGATGTTTTACTTATTACTTATGTAAACAAAATATTCACAATCTGTAAAAGAGAAATTAAATATTCTTTCCAATCAACTCATGCAAAATTGTGGATGCTGTTTTCAAAGTTAAGTTTAGGTTACAGCACTCTAATTTATTCTGGGCCAAGACAAAAATAAAGCTTAATTTTAAAAGTATTAATAAAGGAGGCCCGATGACCTACTCTCCATTCAGGGGCTCACATAAAGGTGAACGGAGAGAACCAACTCCACAAAGCTGTCCTCTGACCTCACATGGACCGTAGCATGTGCACACACATATGTGCGCACAACGTAAGTAGTAAGTATACAGCAGCCCTCTGAGTTTTACAAGTACATCATTAAGCCAGTCCAAAGGGCACATGCCTGTAATCCCAGCACTCTGAGAGGCAGAAGCAGGCAGCCCTCTGTGAGTTTGAGGCCAGCCTGGTCTACAGAGTGAGTCCAGGACAGCTACACAGAGAAACCTTGTCTTGAAAAACAAACAAAAAAGGAGGAGCCAGGAGTAAGAGGAGAAGAAAGAAAAAACATCCGTTGAACATTTAATTAAAATAAAAGTATTACACTGATTCAGAAAATGGTTAATTAAAAAGTTAGTATAAGAGATTTAGAATTAGAAGATAAAATTAAACTGAAATGGACTACTGTAAATAAATGAGTAAAGTCAATTCCCACAGCTCCCTCAAAACTTCTCTTCCCAGTAGGAGAGACCTTAAAAGGTTCTTCATAAGACCTGCCCCCTCCTCCCCGCCACTGGAGCAATTACTAAAGTGGACTGTGACTCCTGAAAAACTCCCAGCTTCCCCCCAGCACACTCTCTTACCTAACTCCAATATTCCAGAACAAGAGGGCAAGACACTCTCAGGTTCTGTATCCCTTGACTCTGACAGCATATGGCAGCACACATCTGTAATCTTAGAACTTGGTAGGCTGAGGCAGGAGAATAGAGTTTGAGGTCAGACTGTGTTAATATACCTCAAAACAAACAACACAGCACAATACAGCTTCTGGCAGCCTGAGATGGAAACCAAAATAGCTTTTCTCCAAAGAAACAATTCTATAATCAACACTTCAAGTACCTTGTGAAGTAAAATTGTTTTGGCATGATAGTTGGAGAATTTAACATTGAGTTATGTAACTTTTTCCTACAGTAAAAAAATAATAATAATAATAATTTTGAAACCTGCCATCTTTGGGGACTAAGTTCATAGCTCCTTGCATAATAAAATATTGAGCAAAATGCAGACTCTCAAAGGGGAAAATACCTGATTTACCTGACCACAGACATTCCAGTGTGTAATCAGCTAGGGAACAGTGATTGCTAAATCATACACTTGGAATAGCAGATTATCAGGTGAATGTTTATGGGAAATGAAAACAACAGCAAAAAAGTTCAAAATAATTTTTTCTAGATGGCTCAGTAGGACATGCCTATAATCACAGCTTTTTATGAAGTTGAGTCATCAGTTCAAGGCCTGCCTTGGTTACAGAGTGAGTGCAGGGACAATTTATTTAGAATTTTAAAGTAAAAAATACAAGGAGGATGCTCTGTAGTAGAGTGCATGCCGTTCATGTGTTGAAACCCTGGGTTCCACTGCCAGTGCAACCAGAAAAATGAACAAAAACCGAGACAAACAACCCACAGCTTAAGCTCATATAACTGCCAAAGTCTTAAATAAGTAAAAGAGTAAAAGAATAAATTTCAAGAAAAAAAAACCTCATCATGGACTCTCTTAATTTTCTTTTGTTTTTTTTTTCAAGACAGGGTTTCTCTGTGTAACAGTCCTGGCTTGCTTTGTAGACCAGGCTGGCCTTGAACTCACAGAAATCCACCTGCCTCTGCCTCCCTGAGTGATGGGACTAAAGACATGAGCCATAACACCCTGCTTCATGGACTCTTATAATTGCTAATTAACAGATTTAAGAATTACCAGCTATTACTTCATGAAGTAGAACTACTAGTTGCGGAACACAGAGAGTTTTTAATACAGTAGAGTAACAGGGGTATTATTAGGTTGAGTGTGGACATTTAAGGACTCACTACAAATTCAGAAACAAAGTAATTGAGTACACTCAAATAGAAAAGTCATAATCCAAGTTTTGAAAATGCATCTTTAAAATAAAAATTACCAGTTTTAGATAGTACTGATGCCCACCCTGCTGCCCCATGCAGTACATTAAATAAACCTGTTATCTTTCCAAAAATAAATTAAATGACCAACGTAAAAAAACCAGGAAGCTTAAAGAAGAAAATATTTGCATCTATGTGCCAGGTGTCAGGCCCATTTAAGAGTCACAAATACAAAACAGACATTTCTATTTTCTCCCTTCTTACAAAGCAACTGAAGCTAAAAGTCACTTCTCTTGTGCTAGAAAAACAATAGCAGAGTCAGGCACCGAATTGCTATCTATTTTGACTATAAAGTCCCTGGTCCTTCCTTTACCATGCTATTAATATTTTAATCATATTACTTATAAAATAAACTGAAACCAGTTATAAAATTACTTATAAAATCCACTTGTCATGGCTTTTAAAAAGTCAAAACCAACAGAAATAAAAATGAGAAAAATGCTATGTACTCTGTGATTGAACTAGTTTTCAACTGTAATTATAAATACAACTGTAAAACACATTATTCTATTATCTGTGGATGTTCTTTTGAGAATAGAATATAGGACAAGGAAAAATCCAAAGCAAATATAGGCCACAGCCTAGGAAAAGAGGAAATATTTTGTCAACTTCTGGGTCGAAACCTTTTACCAAACAATTCAGTGGTGAACGTTGGGTGTTTTACCCCAACAGTGGCTGCCTTTCGTTTTTGTCCTGTTTTCCTTTCAAACATTGCCCAAGACTGTCCCTTAAGCCTTCCTCATCAGATCATTTTACAGCTCACTGCAACTGGAAAAACGGGGTGTGGACCCACACCTGCTAGAGTTTAAAAGTCTTTTCCTCTTCCCGTGTACACGCCACCTCCGACCTCAAACACTAAGAGAATGGAACTGGTAACCTTGTGCCAAAACGTTGACTGTGTTTATATTTGTTTGTGTGGGCAAACACTTGAGCCACAGCTCGCTGGGGCTGGTTCCCTCCATGGGAGTCTTGGGGATGGAACTTGGCGGCAGGAGCCTTTAGCCGCTGAGCCATCATCTCTCCAGCCCTAAAGCAAACTTTTTTCCTAAAGAGGATTTTATAGTTGGGTGGTGTTTCACTTTCTCAGAAAGCAGAGTTTCTTATTTGCTTAGACAACTGAGGTCCAGAGAGAGGGGGTGACTCACTAGCCCAAGGAAAAAGCGTGAGCTGGCAGCTGGGCCAAAGGTTAGAGCCTGGGCTCTCACGGATCCGGTGCTTTAGCTACCACAAGATCCGGGTCCAGATCCTCGAGGCGGATTAGCCGAGGAATGACAGCCAGGACCTAGCCAGAAGAGAAGAGCCCCGTCCGGGGAACGAAAGCAAGGGCGCGCGGGAACAAAGCAGACGACGCTGCGCGCACCCGCAGACCCGACGCCCCCCGGCCCGGGCGCGCGGTGGCCGTCGGGACTCGTAGTCCGCTGCCCACGGCGGGGGGCGCGGCCGCCAACGCGGCGGCTCCCGCTGGCCCCGGCCCACTCACCCGGGAGCTCTCCATCGCCCTCCCGCACAGCCTCACCTCGACGATGCGCGCGCACTGGGTCCCCTTGCCCGCACCGGGCCCGCCCAAAACGAACACGACCAACGGCTTCATGAGATGGAAAGGGCAGAGCCGCAGTGCGCGGGTCAGCGGCGGAAAGCTCGGGACTGGGACGTGCAGCAGCCAGCGACGACAGCTGCTCAGCATACAACGCGACTCTGACAGCGGCCGGCGCGGCGGCACGGGCGGGGCGGCAGGGAGGGGGCGGGCTGAGCGGGCTCCCGGCCCGGCCGCCAGCTGCGGGCCGCCGCGACCGGAAGGGGCGGGGCCTCCATGAGCGGCCCCAGCTTCCGCTCGCGGTTCCGGTTCTTCCTAGCGTGGCTGGAGAGCCAGGGCGTTCCAGTTCCAGAGCCTGGGTCCGTGTTTAGCCAGACCCGAGGTTTGGTCACCCGGATTCCCCTCTCCCACGAGAAGCGACCGAACTGAATAGGCAAACACAGGAACCAGTGAGAGCAACGGCGCTGTTGGGAAGAAACCGAGGAAAAACAAGAACAGTTTGGTTGAGGTTTGCAGAGAAGGCCTCTGAAGAGGTGACCTTGGTACCAAGACTTCAGAGGCTAGGATGCAGTGGCACACCAAGAGACGGGGCCATGTTGGAAGGTTAGGGCTGGATTGAAAGGAATGAAAAGTGATGGAGAGTTGAGCCGATTAAGGAAAAGCACTTAGATGATAGTCTAACCGCAGTGAAAGCCTTTAAGCCCAGCTCTGTTACCCCGACCCGGGCCATTAGGGGAAAATCTTGAAGAAGAAGAAAAGTCTAAGGAGTAAGCCTGGATGAACACAAACCTTTGAAAGTTGGAGACAACAGTGATAGCATTTTCATGGATTTTTAATTCACAGAACAGCGTTATGAATCAAGACATTTTTCAGATAAGTTAGTGGAAATGGTTGATAGCAAAGCTGGTGATCTCTGCTATTGGCCTTAGATGCTATATGATGACATTCTTAGACTTTGGTTTTGGAAGCTAGGATTCTGTTTGTACATTACAAAAGGACTTACCTAATAGTCACAAGAATGTTAGGTCACACAGAGGTGGGCAATAAATGGTTGTTTTGTTAAGATAATTTGACTCTGGACCTGCAATAATAATACAGCTCCCCAAATCACTGAAGTTCTGATCAGTTAACCATTTAATGTTACACAGAAATGCCTTTTTCTTCAAACTACTGTTGGCAGGTAGGAGAGAAATCTGGAGAATGTGGTGACCCCTATAGAGCTCATTTGGGCCCTGAGACCATGGATTTCAGTTAACTGAAGGTGTATGATTGTTCCAGTGTAGCCAGAGAAAGCAGATGGTTATGATTTTTCAGAGTTCAGTTTTTAAGGTAAGTACAACAGAGAGAATCAAGAGGTCTAGAGAGTTGAAGATGTTTATGATAATGTTTAATCAAAACTACACAGGATAGCATATGGCATTTGTGGGATGATAGTGGGAAGGGAAGTGGACACAGTGGCAGGCATTTGCTCAAGTGAGCTAGCAGCACAGATGCTGCTGGTCTGTATGTGATATTGGGAAATGAAATTTCAGAGATAGTTTGTCCAGGGTTTCAGACCAGAGACAAGCAGCTAAGGTGCGTATTTAACATACCAAAGTGGAGCTGGCCTGCAGGTTCTCCCAGCATCCCTCAGTCCCAACCTGTTACAGAACTTTTCAGCCCACATCCAGACATTTTGGTTCCCTCCCTCTCTGCATTTTCTCTCTCCCTGGGAACCCACGTTTTTTCTCTCTTTCTTGTCCCCTTCCTCTCTGTCTTCTCCATGGCAACTTCCCTGGCCTTGTTCCTTGGAACTCCATCTAAGAGCTGCAATCAGTAAACTTGCCTTTATGCTTTAAGCTGAACTGAACTGACTCATTTCGTCAACGAAGAAAACCTTTTAGTTTCTATTATACCCATCAAGGTCTGACCATGTGAGTAAGGCTAGAAGAACAGAAGGCTGAAAAGAATGCATGCCCCTGTTTTTAGAAATGAGTGGCCACGTGAGCATTAGCTCCACGTGAAAGATGGAGTAAGTTATCATTGTGTTAAAGAGACTATGAAAAAGAAACAAAGCTTTAGAGACAGTGACCAGAGGTTTAAATGAAAGCAAACAAACAAACAAGCTGCAATTTAGCCCTCTGATTACCCTCTTTTTCCTTCTGTTACTCTTTTTTTCCCTCACCCTTCATTCCCTGGCCTCCTCAAGTCTTGGGCTGTTTTTTTCCTCCCTGGTCTGCTTTCTGCGGTTTGCTTTCCCTAACTTATTCCCTTCCCTCTCCTTCTATTCCCACTGGTAGTTTTCTTAAAGTCTCCCTGTCAACTTCTTTTTTCTTATCTTTCATTTCACCCTCTTATTTCTTTGCCTTTTGTGGGGAAGAGGGATCCAGGATATGATCTTTATTGCACTTATCCAATGGAAATAATGTCTATATCAAAGCCTTTGTTTGTTACTATAACTTCTACATCACAATTAAAATTCAAAGTTTTTTTTTTTTAAAGTCAACTCAATTAAAATACAGAATCAATAAGCTTCCTTAATCACACAGAAATTCTAAATATGGTAAGTACTCAAATGCAGAAATTTGGCTGGTTAGAAAGCTAATTAAACTTCTGGCTTTCTCAAATAGTATTACAAAAAGACAAAATTTGTGAGGTTTATGGAGATATTGGAATCCAAAATTAGCTGTGGAGAGCAGTCCTGAGGTAATAGGGTAACCAGGCAGCCTCTCAAATGGCAGTCCTCTGTGCCCCCTTTTTTCTACCTTTGCCCTTTGTGCTTCTCTCAAGTTCCTTCATTTCCACAATGTTTATCTTTCCAGCAGGGAAGGAGGGATAGGATATTTCCAGTTATTGCCACAGAAGAAATCTAATTAATAATAATTTATTGCTAACATTCTTTCAATACGGTTCATATATTGTTTATTGTGTCCTATCATAACTGCAGTCTTGTGTAGCAACATAATTATTGTTAGATAAGCTTATTTTGCAGAAGAAACTTAAAGCCAGAGGCTGAAGCAGGAGGATAATGAGTTTGAAGCACGGCTCTATTCCCAGCACTTGTGAGGCAGAGGCAGGTGGATCTCTGTGAATTTGAGGTTACCTTGTTCTGGACTACACTCTTAAGTTCCAAACCAGCCAGAGCTACATCAGCAAAACGAACCCAAACAGTATGATCATAACTGTAATTTCAACAGCTGGGAGATGTCAGTAAGAAAAGAAGAACTTTACGGCCACTTCAACTCGAATAGCAAGTTCCAAGTCAGCCTGGGCTAAATGAGACCCCATGTTTTAAAAAAAAAAAAAAAAAATTCAAAGCCAGTATCTGTAGCAATAAGAAGCTAGGCACTTCAAATTCTGGTCTCTCCAAACTGCCACACCTCCTCTTTCTGTGCTCTCATGTTTATATCCCTCAGAGCTCTACACCATGCTCCTCCATGCTGCATGAGGCAGGCCATTACCAGCTAACAAAGACCACACCCCACAGGAAGCAATTATCAGCTATGGACAAAACTAAAGCCCAAACTTAAAATCCCACACTTAGGATTAAAACAAAAACATTTATGGGCTGGAGAGATGGCTTCAGAGAGCCTAAGAGCACTGATGTTCTTCCAGAGGTCCAGAGTTCAATTCCGAGCAACCACATGGTGACTCACAACCATCTATAATAAGTTATGTTCTGCAGGCATACATGTAGACAGAACATTGTATACATAATAAACAAGTAAATCTTTAAAAAAACATTCACATAACATAATTGAGTTTTTAAAGACACCAAAACTTCCATTGCACACATTCTAAAAGATTAAACTGGGAGATCAAAAATTAATAAAGGAAATTGGGTTTATTGCAGCATAGGGCAGAACTGAAGCTAGAACAGTTGCTAATTTCTCTCTACCATTCCTGTAGCAGCCTTAAATTTATAGAAACTACTATACAATAGTCGGGTAGTAGCTGTTAGCTGTAAGACAGCTTTGCCTGTATTTTCCTGGAGAGGGCCACTTAGTGCTACTATCAAAGGGTGCCTCCATCCTCCGAATGAAAGCTATGTTATATTGTAAAGGACGGCTGACGAACCCGTTGCAGAATCTCAACAGAGAACTCGGAATTCAGGAGGTGGTGAAACAGAAAGAGCCCTAGCAGATTTGGTATCTGGTGAGGGCCTACAGTCTGTCTCAGGGTTCCTGTTCCTTACACTTGCTGACTTGCTGAAAGGTTTCTTTTGTTTAAATTTTAACACTTTTAGAATTTCATGGGGCTGGAGAGATGGCTCAAGGGTTGTTGTTATTGCAGAGGACCTAGGTTCAATTTGTAGTGCCCACAAGGTGGCTCACAACCATTTGTAACTCCAGTTCCAAGGGCTTTGACATCCTCTTCTAGCAGGTATATATATGGTATACAGACAAAATACCCATACATATAAGATAAACATTTTTACAAAAAAAAATTTATATATGGGAACTATACATAATTTTCACCCCTCCTTCATGCTCTAGAACCTGCCATGTCCTCATTAACTTTCAAATTCATGACCTCTTCTTATTGTTACATACACATACACACACACACATATGTACATGTAAATACAGCCTGCTGAGTTCACTTAGTGTCGCTTGTATATGTGTGTTTAGGGTTGAGCACCTGAGACTGGCTTACCTATCGGGGCTTGTCCCTGATTTTCCCCATCTATCCCTCTGCCTCTGCCTCCCTAAGTGCTAAGATTAAAGGCATGCCCCACCATGACTGGCTGGTGGCACATGCTTTGAATCCCAGCCCCCCAGAGATTCTCTATGAGTTGGGGTCAGCCTGGTCTATGTAGTGTTTCAGGGCAGCTGGGGCTACATAGAGAGACCCTGTCTCAAAACAATGAAAGGAGCCAGGCTTGATGGCACATGCTTGACTGTAATCCCAGCACTCAGGGAGGCAGAGACAAGCAGATCTCTGTGAGTTCGTGGCCAGCCTGGTCTGCAAAGGGAGTCTAGGACAGCCAAGGCTACACAGAGAAACCCTGTCTCAAAAAACCATGAAAAGAAAAGGAAGAAAGAAAACTCTGTACTCCAAACTAACTGATATTAGTGACTTTGTCTAGTTGGGCCACTATAACAGAATACCACAGACTTGGCAGATCATAAATAACAAAAACCTCTCATAGTCACATAGGTGATAAAGTCCAAGATAAAGGCACTCCCCAATTCAGTATCAGGTAGGAGCCATCTTCCATGTTCTGTGACTTCAGATGATAGAAAGAAGAAAGTACTCTGGGATCTTTTATAAGAGCAGGATCCCTACTAGTAAGTACTGTCATTCCATCACATTGGAAGTTAAGATTTCGATGTGCCTTTCATCCCAGCACTTAGGATGAAGAGACAGGCAGGTATCTGAATTTCAGGCCAGCCAGGGCTACACAATGAGACCCTGCTCATAAAAACCTTTTTCAACGTGACTTTTGGCTGGGACACAGTTACTTTACAGTAGTTAGGATACAGAATTGTGGGTGAATTTTTCCTTTGTAATTAGCCTGGTACATTGTAGAAGTGTAATACAATTTAAAAATTATAACTTGCATTTTATTTCTCACCTTTATCTGGAGCTTCCGCATTTCTGGCCTCATGCATGCCAAGCAAGTACTGCGCCAGTACACTATAAACACAGTCCAAAGTAATAAGTATTTTTAAGTAAGACAGACTTGAAATAAATTACAGCATGACAGCATGCTTTCCCTGTAAAGGTCAGTAGCTATAGGAACTCCAGTGTCTTGATGTAGGATATATATGAACCAGGATCAAAGGACAGCACAGGATGAAGTCAGTCTATTTAACCTGGCAGGCAATCTACCAATAATTTATATTGGTTTTAGGCAATTGCCTTTTATTATCTAGCCTATAAAACAGTACTTTGCTTGTTTTATGCTTGCCACATCATTTAAACTTCTCCCATTGTTTAACATAAAGCTTAGTGTGTAACAGGTCCTTGGTAGCATTTGTAGTTCCTATTTCACTCAACTCCTGCCTTTTCTGACTTAACAAAACAGTTCCCTTAATCTCTTCAAATATAGGATGGTGTTGCTCCTTTATTACTAATGTTAACTATAGTATACCTAAAGTAGCACTATTTGGCAGCCTTTTAACTAACTGACACACACTCTTTCATGATAGTCTATGATATCTAGATAAGGGAAATGAATTTCAGAGACTACATAGCACAATTGGAGCTTGCTGCATTACACCATTACTCAAAATAAAAATACTTGGAAATACAAGCTTTCCTAAAACTAAGCAAAGTCATTCCAATTCTAAACGTTCTTAAATTTTTCATTTTTCAGAAGCTTTTTGTTGGGCCTCATGCTGCAACACCAGGGGGCAGCACAGAAGAGTGTTCACTCAGCTGATTGACAAAGTGAGGGAATAGCACAACCTGCTAAGTAGCACGGTTATATAGCAAGGACTGTGTTGATGTGGCGTGCAAATAAAGAACTATTTACACTAGTCACAGCAGTGTTTCTGGTTCTATCACAGGCCTCACTTTGAGCATAGGGAAATGCCTTACTCAGAGGACCTAGGTGAGCCAGGTCCTCTCAGTCTTGTCTTAAGTGGTGTCCTCCAGGGTTGGTGCAGGTTCTGTGGTGCAGTCATGCTGGAGAAAAGCTCTCTGTGACGTGTTGTTCAGAGCAGCAGTAAAGAATCTAAACAGTGGGCCACTTGGGCATGATGGAATATGCCTGGAACCTTAGCTACTCAGGAGTCTGTGGTGAGACTGTAAGTTCCTGGCCAACCTAATTACCAAGACCTTGACTCAAAAAAAAAGGGGTGGTGGTGGTGGTGGTGAGGATGTAGCTCAGTAGTAGGGCACTTCCTAACAGGTACAGAGTTCTGAGGTGAATCCCCAGTATTGCAAAGAAAAGTAAGAATAAGTAAACAAAAATGAATAGCCAGCCTGCCTTCAGGGTAGCCTTGTTTGCCAAGGGTGATCATTTTTCATTTTGGTCAAAAAGTGCTTATGCACTGGCACTGAGGATGCAGTTCAACTGGCATAATGTTTACACAACATAGACCATAGCCCTGGGTTCGAGCTCCAGAATGGCACAAACCAGGCATGGGGACCATGACTGTAATTCTAACACTTGAGAGGCAGAGGCAGGAGGATCTGGGTCATCCTTGACTACATAGTGAGTTCAAGATCAACTATATGAGACTCTGTCTCAAAACAAGTGTTTATGCATTTAATTAAATTACACATTCTGATGAGAAGTCCAGTGCTAGTGAAATGTTTAGTTCAAATTGTTGACATATGAGTTGTCATGCTGTTTTAGTTGTTCAAAAGATAATACATGCTTCAGCTTTTTTCCTTTGCCCCCCCCCCTTCTTTTTACTTTTTGTTTTGTTTATTCCTTTTTGAAGACAGGATTTCTCTGTGTAGCCCTGGCTGTCCTGAAACTAACTCTGTAGATCATGCTGGCCACAAACTCAGAGATGTGCCTCCCAGGGGCCACCACTGCCACTTCCTGACTTTTTTTATTTTTTTTTTAAGATGTATTCATGTGTTACGAATATACACCAGGGGTGGCTGTGCCCAAGGAGGCCAGAAGAGGACACTGGATCCCCTGGAGCTAGAGTTAAAAACAACTGTGATCTAAACAACCAAGGTGCTGGCAACTAAGCTCAGGTCATCTGCAAGAGCAGCAAGAGCTCTTAACCACTGAACTATCCCTACAGTCCAGATTTTACTTTTTAAAGTATTTACTTGTATTGTGGTGGTCAACCCAGGATCCTGCATGTGCTGGGCAAATGTACTACCCCTAAGCTGCATACTAGCCTCCAAGAACAGGCTCAGATTTACAGAAAAACAAACAAACAAACAAACAAACAAAAAAAACCCCACGACACAGCACCTCCAACCCACTCTCCCCTATTTTTAACATTCTATATTAGTATGTACATTTGTTTCAATTAATTCAATATTGATACATTAACTATAGTCTTTAATGCATTTAGAATAGTTTTATCTGCCTTTTAAAAAATATACATATCTAAAGTTTAATGTAACACGAACTAATTGTAGTACAGGTTTGCTACCCTCTCCTAACCTTACAGATGTGCTTTCTTTTTTATTTTAAAAAGTGTTTTGGGGCAGAGAAATGGCTCAGAGCTTAAGAGCACTGGCTGTTCTCCCAAAGGTCCTGAGTTCAACTCTCAGCAACCACATGGTGGCTCATAATCATCTGTAATGAGATCTGGTGCCCTCTTCTGACATACAGGTACACACACAGGCAGATTACTGTGTAAATAATAAATCTTTTAAAAAGTGTTTTATCACAATGCCTGATCATCGCTTAAAGATACTCAACACGTTCCTCTGGCTGCACGCCCACACAAATCACATACCACAACTGTCCCCAACTTTAGCACTAGAAATAAGTATAAATGGCCCACAGGTTCTTCTGTTCAACGAGAAACAATTTTCCAAAATTGCTAAGATCCTTCCCAAGAAACAACTTGGAACAAATTTAACCTCCTCTGTTCTCTGTCCATCCAAGTAAAGGGCTTGAAACTTTTTTTTCTTGAGACAGGTTCCTGGATTTGCTTCGTAGCTCAGCAGATGTTGACTTGCTGATCTCGGCCTCCACCCACCTCTTGAAAGTCGGGTTTCGGCACCACCACACCTGACTAATCTTTTTGAGACAGGGTCTCTAAACAATCCCAGCTCCTCTGGAACCCGCGATGACCCTCCTGCCTGAGGAAAGAGCAGGAATAGCCGGGGCGAACCTCCAAGTTGGAAAGAGACAATCCTAGCAGTTCGGCCACAATCGGTGTGTGGAGCCGCGGAGCACTTCCGGCAAGTCACTTTTTTTTTTTTTTTTTTTCTTTTGCGCATGCGTTTGGCCTACCCATTCCGGAACTTAACCGTCGCCCAAAGGAAGATTTAAATCCTCGGAGCAGCGCTCCGGCGCTTCGGAGGCGCTGGCTTCTCTACAGAGCCTTGGGATAGGGCGAGCGCCAGCCCAGGTCGGGCTCCGATTGGTTGTCAGAGCCGTCTGTCGCGGAGACGTGGCGCGCCGCTCCTCGTACCGCCTCTGCCGCGGGACTGGCCGGCCCGTGGCCAATCAGCAGGCGCGGCGCGCCCTCCGCTTTCCCGCAGCCGGCGCTTGCCGCCTCGGTTCCCGCGACCCCAACGTCCCAGAGGCGGGGCCGCAGTTACCTGAGGCCGTGCTTGGAGCCCGCCTCTGCGTGCCCAACAAACAAGCCCCAGCTTGGCGGCGGCCGTGCCCACGGCGACGTGGATCTTCGTGCCCGGGTCCCCCGCGACGCGCTCCGGGCGGAGAAGCACGGTGAGGAACGCGCGGCCGCGGAGGGTCGATGCTAGCGCCCCGGGGCTGGCGACCGCAGGGCAGCCGGGGGAGAAGAAAGCGGACTTCAGCGTCCTGCCTGCTGTCTGCTAAAGAGTATGAAAGAGGTTTACCTTCGTAACGCGCCTCAGATTGCTTTCACTGTAGGAATTTCACTCTTGCATCCTTTACGGTTTCTGGCCCAGACTGTAAGGAATCTGTGTGTTTACAGTCGGTCTACAGGAAGTAGACCCGTGTCAAAAGGGAGTTGTGAACGTTCTGTGTCTGAACACAAAGGCAGTAGTAACGTTACTAGGAGAGATTTCGCATTCGAGTTGGAGGTTGGACGGTGGGGTTTAGTCGGAAATTCCAGCTAAGGGGGAGGGCAGTCTGTGCAGTCCTACCTGGGACTGCGGATAGTTGAGTTGGGGATGGGGGATGAGTGACTTGGGTTTATAGTTGCAGTGATTGGGTAGGACCTTAACTCTGAAGGTTTTTTATTCTGTATATGAAGATAAGCTATTGACTTCCTAAGCTGGGAAAACCTTGAACATAGACACATATTGTGTCTGCACCGGAGGGACTTGTCAATACCTTCGGCAGGGCTAATGAAGTCAGCTAAAGTGGGAGGAGGAAAGAACTTTATATGCATAAGAGGGAGAAGAGGTGCAGATGACTTGATGGTTCTCGTTTGCCACGCAATAAAGACATTACCTGAGGAGAGGTGTTTTTGTTTTTGTTTTGTTGCTAGATATTCGTTTTGTACAGTTTTGACCATTAGCTTTATGTAATTCTGTCAAATCTCATTTGGTGGTTTTCAAATGATAAAGGCCTAATGCTTGAAAAAAGAGACTGGACATTTAAAAACACTTCTGTTGACAGTGTTTATGTACTTTGTGGAGGTAGAGTTATCAGTGTGATTACTGTTACTATGACAACCAAGTGCTAAAGAAAGTCTTTTTTAAAAATAGCCCGTATTTCAAGAAGTCCCATATCTCTGTAGGGGAGTTTTTAGTTTATCCTTAAGGGTTATGTCCAGTAGAGTTTCGTTCTCTTGGACGATATAGAAAAAGTCTCTTCTAGGTGACTTACACCTTTGTTCGCAATCTCTTTTCCTGAGTCAGATAATTCCTTTTTACATTTTTTATTAGAGTTTAAAATGTGTTTATTGTGTGCAGAGTGGATGTGTGTAAATGTGCAAGCTACAGAGCACTTGTGGAGGTCTGAAGATAACTTGGTTCCCCTTACACCAGCAGGCCCTTGGAATCAATCTCAGGTTGCTAGTTTTGGCAGCAAGCACCTTTACTCTCTGAGCCATCTTACTGGCCCTAGATTTTTATCTATTGTTATCATGACTGTTGTTGTTTTGGGGGGGAGCAAAGCGTAGGAAAACATGTCCCACTGAGTGCATGTGAAGATCAGAGGACAACTTCTAGAGTCTGTTCTTTGTTTCAACCTTGCACTCTGGGAATTGAACTCCGGGCACTAGCCTTGCAACGAGTGCTAAAACGCTTGGTCCACCTCAGACAATATCTTTTTGCTAAAATCAAAACAACCCACAGAAGGTGAAAAGTTAAGACTTTAAAAATACGGTAAACGTTGGCTGGTCTCAGTGACATGCACCAAGGAACATACCCCAGCACTTAGGGGATAAGTCTCATAATTCCCAAAAAGCCACACACACAAGTATCAAACAGGAAAATTCACAGATACATTTTATAAAAAGTTATAATTAACCCATTCATCAAAAGACTGACTTGTGGCGATGAACAGGCAAGTCTCTGCCTGGCTTGTGAAATGATCATGGTATGGATCCATAGTCATACTTGCTGGCTATCCTCACTATTCTCTGCACTCATCTACACAGCAAATCTTTAGTTTCTACCTCTCCTGAGTTTCAAATTCATATCTAATTTCCCGCTAGTTTCATTCAGTGCTAATAAAACAAAATACAGACTATATAGTCCTTTTTCTACAGGTTAACATTCACTGTTTTGTTTTGTTCTGTTTGCTTTTTGAGATAGGGTGTCTCTACACAATCCTGGCTGAACTCACTTTGTAGACCAGGCTGTCCTCAAACTCAAAGAGATCTGTCTGCCTGCCTCTGCCTCCCAAATGCTGGGATTAAAGGCAAGCACCACCAAACACATATATTAACTACTTCTTGTTCTACCAAAATCACTAAATTGAACTTGAGAATAAGATTTTGGGGCAGCCGTATATGGCCACCTTTAATGGCCATGTTTGGGAGGCAGAGGAAGGTAGATCTATGTGAATCCAGACCATCTAGGAATACATAATGAGACCTTGTGTGTGTGTGTGTGAGAGAGAGAGAGAGAGAGAGAGAGAGAGAGAGAAATTCTGTCTCATTCAATAGCTCTGAACTCACTGTGTAAGCCGGGTTGGCCTCAAATTCACAGAGCTCCATCTGCTTCTGCCTCCCCAGTGCTAAAATTAAAGTCTTGTGCCATGAGACCTTGTATTTAAAAAAAGAAAGAAAGAAAAAGATTTGGGGGTAAAATATGTAGTTTCTTTAATGAATAGATATACTTGTTGCTAAAATGAATATTAAGGTTAATATAAAAAGGTTAATATTCATTTTAGACCGAATGACTCTGGTATATGAAAGCAATCAAAATCTATTAACATTTTAATCTTTTATTTTTTCCTGCACTGGACATTAAACATAGGGCCTTCATGTAGTAGGCAAGTTTGCTACGTCCTCAGATTTACAAGCATTTAATCAAATTGATCTGTAGTAATGTTTCATATGAGCAACTTATTTTTCCAATAATTTTGTTACTATGTGATTAAGTAATGTTTCTTCTATGTCTAAAAATATTTTCTTATTTTTGTAGGGTACTGAGGATTAGAAATTGAATAAATCACTCACCAAATATAGAGCCTATATTTCCTCTAGAAAAAGTTCCAGATGAATACCAGGTACAGAAACTTTAACTTATTGAGTATATATTTAGATTTTTTTTAATTTATGTGTATGAGTGTTTTGCCTATATATATGTATATATTTGTACCATATACATTCTTGGTGTCCAAGGAGAGCAGAGAAGGTATTTCATCCCTTGGAATTGGAGCTGTATATGGTTGTGAGCTGCTATGTAAGTACTGAGAAATAAATTCAGGTCCTCTGCTAGAGCAGCAAGTACTCTTAATTGCTGAGCCATCTCATCTCTCCAGGCCCTATTTTATTTTATTTTATTTTATTTTATTTTATTTTATTTTATTATTTTATTTTATTTTATTTTATTGCATCAAGGTCTTGCTGTGTAGCCCTGACTGGCCTCACACTCACTGGCCTCCTTCCAGATGCTAGGATAGTAGGCATATGCCACTGTGCCTGGCTGTTTATTTACTTATTTGTGGTGGAGGTCTCATTTAGATACTCTTTCCTTGGCCTCTCAAACTTTGGGACCTCAAGACACCTGCCACCATGTCTGGCTTCAGACTGTTTTCATGTAGTGTTTTATTACAGCTGTCCATATTAACTTGAGAAGGAATACTGTAAGAGAAGACCATGGTCTTCAAACCAAGAATGTCTGGCTCTACAGTTAATTAGTTGGACCCCTCTATCTAGTTCCCCCACTAAACCCCAGTTCCTCACTGTAAGATGAGGGTCACTTTCTAATTGATTGCCGTTATTAAGAACAGTAAGTATTAAGTATTAAGAATGCTTATTAAACTATAGGAGCGGGTAGATAGTAGGCACTTAGTAGATACTAGCTCCCTTTCCTCGCAAAGTGACAGATGTTTTTATTGGTGAGACAGTAATTGAGGCTGTAAATTAGAAGGTTGCTTACTACCACCCTAGAGGGATGGGAAGTTTTGGGGTTACTTCTTTCTAAGCACTGAATCCTTGGCAGTAATCATCTCACATTGGCCAAGTTTCTCCATGCTTCCCTAAGCCTTTCCTTTTATGTGGAGTAGGAAGGAGGAGCTGGCCACCTGTCTCTGCTTTTTTGGTCTGTTATTCCATGGAGGACCTGGTAACCTGGCTTGGGTGGTTTAGTTTTATGGACTATTATTTCCCCTAGAGAAGAACAATTAATGCTGGCATATGGATTTTTTTTTTCTTCTAAACTACAGTTATGCCCATGGGGAGCTTTTATATTCTCTGTTGATTCCATTATGCCAGATGTTTTTGGTGAAGACAATAGGAAAAATGACCCAGGGAGGCTATCGTATTCCTTTTACTTAAGTCTTGACCCTTCTGTTGTATCACACTGCTGCAGTATATATTTTATTTTTATTAATAAATTAATTTGTTTATTTTGAGACAGGGTCTCCCTATTTAGCCCTGGCTGTCTAGGAACTCACTATGTAGACAAGGTTGGCCTCCAGTTCACAGAGACCTGCTTCAAGTGCTGGGATTAAAGGTGTGAGCCACCATGCCGGGCCCCATGCAGTATTTTTTAAATGAATAAAGTACAGCATAGAGGTATTGATCATTCTATTGTGATATAGTTAGTAAGTGGTAGAATTTCATCTGACATGTCTCTTTCTTTATTGTGCCGAGGAAATAAACAAAGTAGTATTGTAGGATGATCTTTAAAGGTACTGTGGACTGTGGAAAATTAAAAAAAAAAAAAAAAAAAGAAAAGAAAAAAAGACAACATTGAACATTTAACAATGATTTAGAAATTATTTTAAAGCATTTTACATACATGTTCAATATTCTACTGTTCAGAGAAGCATTGGTATCCTTTTTTGTCTTATTCAGGTCCTTAGCATAGCTCCCCTCAACTGTATTTTGGCTGGCCTGGAATTCCACGTCTTGGCCTTCTAAGAACTTGGGATTCCTGGCAAAGAGAATTAACTTTCTTATAAAATTTATAATGTTTGCTTTTCCTGTGCTTTAATTTTTTTTTAAAGGTTTTCCTCAAGCAAGATGGTACCCTTTCATTTTCCCCCGTCAAAATTGGCCCTTTGGAACCCAATGCCAATTGGAGATTTCGTCTACTTGCATGTTGGTTACTATAGGTATGTTTTTCTTTCCACATCAAACCAGTATAAGCATGAGTAATAAAAGAATATGTAAGACAGACTTGATTGTTATTGCAATTGTAAGTTGGGCTGCCTAAATCCCAAAGTCCAATTTTTTTGTTTGTTTTTTGTTTTGCTTTTTGACATAGGATTTCTCGAGATAGGGTTAGTCTGTGTATCTGGACTTGCTTTGTAGACCAGGCTGGCCTCAAACTCACAGAAATCCATCTGCCTCTGCCTCCCCGAGTGCTGAGATTACAGGCATCTGCTACCATGTCTGGCCCAATTGTGTGTATGTCCACTTGTGGAAACCAATGGTTGATGTCCAGTGTCATCCACTATTCCTTGCTACATTATCTTTTGAAACAAAATCTCACTGGATCTGGAGCTTGCCTTTTCAGCTAGACTTGCTGACCAGCTTGCCCCCATTCTACCAAACACTGGGTGATACAGATGGTGCCACTGTACCCATTTTTATGTGGATGTTGAGGACGCAAGCTCAAATCCTTGTGCTTACCTGGTAGGATCCATTTTCCGAGATCCTAAAATCTGAAGCTTGGACTGCCAAGACAGCTGAGTGGCTAAAGGCACTTGCCCTCAAAATCTGAAACTTATTGAGTGTCAACAAGATACTATAAAGTGCTCCATTCCACATCATATCTAAATACAAAATAGTTATATAAAAATCACCTTCAAACTATATGTATAGTTTATAAACATAAATGAATTTCACGTTTAGATTTGCGTTCTGTCCCCAGGATTTTATATATGCAACTATTCCCAAACCTGAATGTTGTATTGTTGATTAATATTTACTATTGATGTATCTTTTGGTAACACTGCTGTTAATCCTAAACAGCTGTATACCCAAATCACCACACAGAGACTGGGATTTATTTAGTTAACCTAGATCACAATGCTAGGCAATAGTTATTTCATCCTAAACCTCTAAGCCCATGTAGTTTCTTACCATTCAGATTTCCCACATTATACTTGCTTTTAGTGATATATTAGGTCCAGTCCATCTCTCCATGTCGTTCTGAGACCTCTCCTACAGCCTCTGTCTCCCAGCTTCTCCCTGTCTCTCCTCTGCCTCCCACTCCTTCTTGTCCACTGGCTCCTCCCCTCTCCCGCTTACACCTTCCTCTCCATTGTTTAACATTGTGGCTGGTTGTTTTATTTTGGCCTGTTTACACAAATTTGAGATAGGTGATGCATAGAATAAGTATCACAATGCAATGTCTGGATTGAAACCAGAGAGTGGGGGAGAGAAGTCAGCATTTGAATGAACAAGGGTAAGGTGTATACATTCCAAAAGAACATTATACCAACACCTGAAATGCTGTGGTCTCAAGTATTTCAGGTAGGCAATGCTCAACCTGTTCATTTTTCTTTACTTTTTCACTAAAAGCTCCTATCAGATAAAAATCTTGTCTGTTTGTTAAGTCTTCCTTACGCTTTTGAGAAATAATTTTAATTTCACAATTAAAGTATTTTGCAAATTTAAAGTTCTAAATATTGTAGGAGTGTCTCTTGTTGCTTCAGCATGGTGTCTGTGTAAAACACTGAGAAGATAGAAATGAGATGGAATCAATCAAGTTAGAAGGCACATGATACTATAGTTCTATATAGGACCTTTTGAAAGAAGTTCAGACTTAAAATAATAGTAATCAATTGAAATATTGTGTCTTACTTGCTAAAAGGAATATTCTGCAGAGGATAGATTATAGTGTAGAGAGCCAAGTCAGTCAGTCTGTAAAGTACTTAGCAGTAATCATAGATTTTTTTTTTTTTCCATAGTGATTTAAGGTACTCTTAACTGGGATTAGACTATCTGGACCCTCAACTCCTGATCCTGCCAATTCTTATTTAAATGATTCCTATAAAGAAGTCAAAGATCGGTTTCCTTAATTATAAAATAAATTTAAAAGTACCATGAAGACCATGTGTAGCTCAAGTACATGAAACTTGAGCATGCTAAGCAAACGCTCTACCATAGGGCAACACACAATCCTTTGCAGATGAGATCTTACTACATAGCTCTGGGTGGCCTGAAACTCATCATGTAGACTAGACTGGCCTTAACCTCACGGAGATCTGCCTACCTCTGGTTGTGTTTTGTTTTGTTTTGTTAGGTTTTTGTTTTGTTAATTTTTTTTTTTAATTGTCTGATCTTTCTTTCTGGCTTCTTGTTTCTTCTACATATTTTGGTTTCCCTCATATTTCTTTAAACTTTCTTTAAAATTTTTATTTTGTTTTTAATCATGTTAGTATAGGTGCCAGAAGAGGCCAGATATTCTGGAACTGGAATTACAGTTGATTGTGAGCTACCTGATGGTGCTGGGATTGAACTCCAGTCTTCTGGAAGAGCAGTATGAGCTCTTAACTACTGAGCCATCGCTCCAACCTCCACACCCACCCCCTGAGCCCCCTTTTTAAGACAGAGTCTTACTATATAGCTCTACTTGGCCTGATCACTATGTAGATCAGGTTGGCCTCAAATTCACAGAGATCTGCCAGCACCTCCTGAGCTTTGAGATTAAGGATTGATGCCACCATGACCAGCTCTTTTGTTGTTGTTCTTTTATTTTACATGCATTAGAGTTTTGACTGCATGTATGTCTGTGTGAAGGTGTCAGATCACCTGGAACTGGAGCTACAGACAGTTGTGAGCTGCCATGTGGATGCTGGAATTGAACCCAGGTCCTTTGGAAGAGCAGCCCGTGTTCTTAACCCTGAGCCATCTCTCCAGCGCCTCTTGTTTTAAATATGTTTATGTTTTGTATTCAAGAATGCTGTGATCCTACATAAATAATATGTAAACAAGTAAATGTGACTTTTTTTTTTTTTTAGACAGTTTCTCTGTGTCCTAGACTCAATTTGTAGACCAGGCTGGCCTCAAACTCTGAGAGATCTGCCTGCCTCCCTGAATGCTGGGATTAAAAGCGGGTACCACCACGCCCAGCTGAATGTGACTATTCTATCAAACTTTATTTACAGAAACACATTGGCCTCCTACTTTGTCACATTGTACTCTGATCCAAGGTAGGCAACAGCCTGGAGGACATTTGTACCTTCTCAGCTCATGGCCATTGTGGTTTCCCCGTGGCCTTGTCTACCCCTTGGTTTCTTGACTAGGGATATCCTGATGATAATCTTTGTGTACATTTTTATAATTTTGTGTTACATTTTAATCAGTACTTCTATAGGAAGTTTTTCTTTAATGTGGACATTAGATATACCACTTTCATAAAAGATTTTTCTTATTTTTCAGAAAGCCAAAGCTTGTGGTAACTGAAAAGGCCATCCGACTTGCTTATCGTCATGCTAAGCAGAATAAAAAAAATGTGCCATCCTTCTTACTTGGTTCTCTCACAGTGGATGAAGGTAATATGTTGTTTAGAAGGATATTCTATGGAGCTGTGTGTGGTGGGGAACACCTTTAATCCTAGCACTCAGGGAGGCAGAGACAGGCGCATCTCTGAGTTCAGTGCCAGCCTGGTCTACAGAGCAAGTAGCCAGGGCTACACAGAGAAACCCTATCTCAAAAAAACCTATACATAAATATGTACATATATTAATCGCTATTATAGAATATACATCTATTTCAGCAAGCTATTATGTGTACCTTTGCTAATTTCTTTTCTGTACATCATAGATATGAAAATGAGTAAAACTGCCCATTATAGAATTCACAGTGTAGTACCTGGTAGACTATGTAAGCAAATCGTTTTTTTTAATAATTTATTTAATTTTTTATTTTATGAGCATTGATGTAGGGTGTCACACCACCTGAACTGCTTATGGACAGTTGTGAGCTACCATGTGGGTGCTGGGAGTTGAACCTAGGTCTGGTGGGAGAACAGAAAGTGCTCTTAACCACTGAGCCATCTCTCCATCCCTGCAAATCAATTTTTTTTTTAATGTAAGATTTTAGTATAGTACTGGTATGATCAAAATACTTTGCTAAAAGTGTAATTTTGCTTGGTAGTTTCATGCTTTTAATTAGCATGCTACATAATAATTGGTATTTTTGTTCTGCAGATGAAGAAGGTGTGACATTGACAGTAGATCGCTTTGATCCTGGTCGAGAAGTACCTGAATGCTTAGAAAGAACTCCTACGGCTTCTCTTCCTGGAGATTTTTTGATCCCCTGCAAAGTTCATACTCAAGGACTTTGTTCAAGAGATATGATAGTTCATAATGCAGATGACTTCAGTTCAGGTTTAAAGGTGAGGTTCACTGATAACATTCTTTTTATAACAATTTTTATTTTTTGAAATTGTGATATAGTTACATCATCTCCCCCGTTCCTCTCTCCAACTCCTCCCATGTAGACCCCCTCTTGCTTGCTCAAATTTATGACTTTTTGAAAAATCATAGTTACAGATACTCACACACATACATAACTTCAACCTACTCTGTATATTACCTCAGGGCCGACTACTAGATGATGGATAACCAAATAGTGTGCTCTTCCCGAGGGAAGACTGTCTCCCATTCTCAATATTTCCCATTTGCCTGTAGCTCTTTGTCTATGCTGAGGCTCATAAGATTTCTGTCTTTCAAATGAGCATGTCTATTGGTATTGTCATCGTTCTTTGGGGCTTATTTAGGCAGCCATGTTGATGAGACTTTATTTATGTAGCCTCTAACATTTCTAGTAGAAACAGTCTCATAGCAAACATCCTATTCTCCAGCTCTTACAATCTTTCTGTCATATTCACCAGTGATTGCTGGGGCTTAGGGACAGGAGTTGTGTTGTAGATGTACCAGTCTGCATTTTGATCGGTTTTTTTTATACTGATCTCCTTCTGTTAAAAAGAGAAGTTTCTTTGATGAGGGGTAAGAACTACACTTACCTGTGTATAGAGAATATTTGGCATGTACTTAGGAATTAATGCAGTTGGGTAAACTTGTAGTTGAAGGTTTTCTAGAACCATGACTTTTCCAGCCCTGGGTAGTTGGCCAGGTTTCCAGTACCAGGAATGATTTCCCTCTTGAGTGGGCTTGAAGTCCATTAGAAAGCTGTTGGTTACCACCAAGGTATGTGTACCACCCAAGGTATTGCTCCCTTAGGGTGATTGTGCCATGCTGGTCCTTGTGTTCATAGGTGTCATACCTGGGCAAGACTGTATGCTTGCCTCTCTTAGAAGTTTGCCTTAAAGTGCTGTGAAAACTAGTCCTCAGGGAGGAGGCTTTGGGTCAGATCCAAGTCAGAGGTCCTCTGAGTTCTGTGTCTGAAGTGTAGTGACATTGTTTTTAATTCCATATAAGAAACTATATGTAGTTTGTAATATTTTAATCTTTATTTGATAATTATTTATAATGCTCTGTGATTGAATCATTGTATACTCAAAAATCCAAGGTAATCAAGTTTCTGAGGACAGAGATTATAGGTCTGGGATATGGGTGGTATTCCAGACAGAAAGGTGCAGGAAGTGCTCAGGGTTGCTAATGGTATGTAGACTTTTACTAAAGGCAATTAGACTAGAATGTTACTTTAATCAGATTATAGAGAGCTTATTGGGTAAAGAAATTTCTTTTGTGTACATAATTACTAGAGGTTTCTGAAAAGAAACAGTTTTGTCAAATCTGATCAAGCAGGCTCACTAAAGTCTGAATAGTCCACTAGGTTGGATATGTATTAGAAAGGGTATATGTGTGTGCATGTATATACAGATAGAACAGAAAGGGCACAGTAGATACAGATAAATTTGGACGAAGAGCTGCCCCAATTTGAATAATGAGAAAGAAACCAAAAAGGAATGATTGCTATTCTCGAAGACTGGGTCACAATCAAGTTATATACACCTCACCACCCTGGTGTAGCAAAATTTATTAGGAGTGATAATTGCCTAGCAAAAATTTGAAGAGCTTGCTAGGACATCAAAGTTGGAAATTTATGAAGGAGCTTAGGACTTGCTTTAATAAAATTATTCACGTAATCTTTTGACCATTTGAAAGAAATGAAAATTGAAATGTTGTGAATTAGAACTATTTTAATTTTGTTAATGTATTATAGAGGTATATGTAGCAATGTTAAATGAACTTTAAAGATATGGATGTAGTCAACCTTTTAAAGTAATTGTGTAATATTGGTTCCTCAGGCTTTACAATACCATGTCTGTAGCAAAGAATTCTTGGACTGTGGAAAGCTGCTTTCCGTACGAGCTCAAATCACCCCCAGGGAGAGTTTGGACGGTGTGGATTTTGACTTACATTGGGCCGCAGTAACAATAGCAAATTCTTTCAAGTGTGTGCCTGTGAAGCCCATCCCCATTATTCCTACAGCGCTAGCAAGAAACTTAAGTAGTAATCTGAATATTTCTCAAGTTCAAGGAACTTATAAACATGGGTAAGTAAAAGATCCATTAGTCTAAGCTCATAAAGAATGGTTGAATTAATATGCTTTTCAAGATATTGACATAATACTAAATACTGTAGTCAGTTTACATGTCAGAGATCCAACCATTTGAACAGTGGTCAGGGAAGACAAAAATGCTTATTTCTAAATATTTGTTGCTGGGGATTGAACCCATGGCCTTCACAGGCTAAGCATACATTCTACTGCTGCAGTATAGCACAGGCTATTAATTTTGTTGCAGAGTGGTGCCTCTCCCTACAAATAAATAGGTGGAGATATATATATAGAACCAGGCATGATATTAGACACTTAATCCCAGCACTTAAAAGACAGCTGCAGGCAGATTTCTATGAATTTGAGACAGACCTGATCTACATAGTGGATTCCAGAAATGGCCAGGGCTATAAAATAACCCTACTAAAAAAGAGAGCGGGAAGAAGAAAAAAGAAAAAAATTGACTGTGGCTGTAGAATTGTGGCTTGCTGGTAGGGTTCCTGTCTGAATCTGAGTTAAGTCCCCAGCACCACACAAAAACATCAGTTGATAACATGATTTGATTTTTTTTTTTTTAAAGTAGAGGGAGAAAATAAGTTGTATTTTGCCTACTTTGAAGGCTATTTTCTTTTATTAACCAAGATCTGACAGAATCTGTAAAAATGCTGGAGAATTTATTCATAATGTTTACTTTTGCTGTTAGTAATGAACACAAGGATGATTAAACATTTGCAGTGTTCTTGCTTACCACATTGTCAGCCACTTGAGAGTGAGTTCCCTTGCAGAGCAGGAGCAGATCCTCTCCAGCTCACTGTCCCTTAGTTTCTCAGGTCAAGATGTATGCTTTCTAAATCTTCATTTACTTTACACCTACTGGGCACATTAGATAGTGGCAGGATGGGGAGAAATGGCTGTAAGCATTAGACTTTTGGCTTCCTTTCCCACTGACTGCACCATAGTTTGTGTTAGGTCTCTAGAGCCAAAAATGTTTGCCAAGGTACACTTAATTCTGACAGAGAGAGACTGAGAGACTTTTTCTTTGTCGTAGCGAGGAAATCCCATTTTGAATTTCACATTCTGACTAGAGTGATACCTGCTGGTTGAAATGGCACAGAAGGAAATGTGTTAATTATACTACAAATGATCAAAAGCCACAATGAGCAAAAACTATATGAATGAAGCATTTATATCTTTCGGAATAATAAAGTGCTCCTTAACGGGGACGTGAGATTTGTTTTCTATTAAAATTAACCAACAAGTAATTTTATTTTTATTTGTGTTCATGCCCGTTTACTTAGGCAAAACAAATTGTCTTTGCATGATCGATTTCTTACTTCTGGGTATTCTGGTAGTAAGCAGGACATGGGGATATTCAGTATTTTTGATTTTTTTGTCTATGTAAGTGTGTCTTAAGAGTCGGTTTGTGCAAATCAGTGCAGGTGCTTGAGGAAGCCAAAAGATGTTGGCTGGTAGTTGTGGCATTCTGCAAGCCAAATTTGGGACCTCTGCAAGAGCAATATGGGCTCTTATCTGAGACATCTCATCAGCCCTTTGCTTAGCATTATATCCAGCCCAAGGCTTCATAATGTCCTTTACAAAAAGTGGGTTTTGAGTTTTGTTATCATATTCTTTGGCAGTGGTTGGAGGAATGTCATATATGGAGGATTGATTATATTCCCCTTAATGCAGTCTCTTTCACATTTCTCATATCAAATTGCCTGGATACTTGGATACTTCCAGTAATGGGAAATTCACTTTTTTTAGTAACTTAGTTGGTTCTAAAATGTTAACATTGTTTAAAAGTAACAGGTAAGTAAAGTTGAGGAGTAAAATATTTTAAGTATATAATCGTAAATGACTATTTAAATGGGTAAAACGTTTTATATATTGTCTTTCTAATCTCTTTTATCCATTACCTAAAGTATGTTTCAAGACTCAGTTTGCCTCTTTTGGGTTAAAAGCACATGCTTAAAATTATTCTTACATAAATTTCTTCTGTTTAGATACATTACCATGGATGAAACACGCAAATTGTTACTTTTGTTGGAATCTGATCCCAAGGTTTATTCTCTACCATTAGTGGGAATGTAAGTATTATTCTACTTAAGAAAACCTCTCAGCTTAGTGTGTATCCAGATAATCGGGAAAATCAAGTGTATTAGGAATATTGAGCTCTTTTGTTGTTGTTGGTTTTCCTTTTTGAGGCAGGGCCTTTCTATGTAGCTTTGGCTGGCCTGGAGCTCAGAGAGCTCCTTTCTGCCTCTGCTTTCAGAGTGCTGGGATTAAATGGAGTGTGCCACCATGCCTGGCTTGAGCTCATTTTATAAACTCACAAAAATTATTGATTCTTAAGCTGTATAAGCTAACTAAGGCATTTCTGATTCCTAGTTGAAGTTGAAGGTTTCCATCCTTTGCTCATTAAATTTGTGTTTATGGTATCTTGGAGAATCCAGGACTGAACATAATAGAATTTAAAATGTGTCCACAGGGAGTTGTATAGAACTTCTCTTTATTGTTAACCGTTTTCTCTTCACAGTTAGTGGGTTAGTGACATTGAAAAAGATGATTCAGAAATTCATTTATTCAGTATCTATTACTGTTTTCTATTTGCATAGCATGTTTGATTCTGTGTTAGGGCTTAAGATCCCTTCTCAAGGAATTTCTACTCAAACTGAAGTGATAAGATATTCACAAATATAAAAAAAATAGATAGTAATGAAGTATATGCTTTACCTGTGAAATGAACACTAAAAATAGTATTTATAAAAGAATTAATTGTGGCTGGGCTGCAGTGGTGCATGCCTTTAATCCCAGCACTTGAGAGGCAGAGGCAAGCAGATCTGTTGAGTTTAAGGGCAGCCTGGTCTGTAGGCCATCCAAGGCTACACAGAGAAACCCTGTCATGAAAAACCAAAATTAATTAACTAATTACTTTAAAAATAAATAAGTAATTGTGGCATTTGTTTGTTTGATTTTTTTTCTTTTAAGAGTGGATTTCTCAGTGTAGCCCTGGCTGTCTTGGAACTTGAGCAGTAGACCAGGCTGGCCTCAAACTCAGAGATCTGCCTGCCTCTGCCTCCCGAGTGCTGAGATTAAAGGCATGAGCCATCACCCATCTCCTGGCAGTTATGGGCATTTTCTTGTAAAATATTGTAAAGTTTGAGCTACCTGTATGTATATATTATAGATTTTATCTTCTCCACAATTCCAGTTAAGGCCACTAACTTTGGTTTCCTCTAATTTTGCTCCTTTCCAGTCCGTGCTGGTTTATTCTGATAACCCTTCTTTACCTCCACAAACTGTTTTTCTCTCCCACACCCAAGTGGAAGAGAACGAAGAACATGTACTTATCTCTTTGTATATGTAGATGTGATATATTTATGTTGCCATAGATATCGATGTAGTCTGCCTCTTAATTATCAGTGTGATTTTTCATTTGTGAAGGTTTTAATGTACTACTATTGAGCATCAAGAATCAGTCTTAGGAAGGATGTAATCCAAAGCATGTTAATTTTTAAATGACTGTAGGGTTTTTTCCTTTTATCGTTGGTTTTTATTTTGAGGTGAGATCTTTTTGTGTAGCCCATGCTTTGTATGATTTGCCTCAGCCTCCAGGTATTGGGCTCTCAGGCATGTGCCACTGTACTTCACTGATTATGTACTGTCTTTTTCTTTTAGTTGGCTGTCTGGAATTATACATATCTATAGCCCTCAGGTATGGGCTTGCTGCTTGAGATACATGTTCAGTTCTTCCATTCAGGAAAGGCAAGTTATATTTTATTCTATAATATTTTAGTTTGATTGTTTCCTGTTTATATTGTATTGGTTGCAGTTAAAATTCATACACAGTTTTAATCTTTTATAATACTTAATAATGTCCACTTTAAGGAAAATAAGCCTCACATTTAATGAAGCTTAAGAAGGTAAGCTCACAGCTATTACGGGTAGACATAGGATGTGTTAATTTCAGAGACTCTGGAGTGAAAGATCTCACAGGAAGGATACTGTATTGTTAGACAGAAGGGCAGAGAAGCAGGACTTGAGCTCAGGAGAGGTGAATGGAAAAACCTTTGTTTGCTTTCTCTTCAGTATTTTGAGACAGGGTCTTAATCTGTAACCAGAATGGCCTTGAACTCATTTGGTGACCCAGATTGACTTTGAACTCAGGTTGTCTTGCCGCCAGCCTCTTGAGTATTGAATTACAGCTGTGAGCTGCTATTTCAGGTTACAGAAGCCTTTGATAACCTATGCTAATCTAATAGAGGAAGAATATTCTTTTCCAGCGTTTATGACTTCTTCTAGGTGTTGTCTTTTGCTATTTTCTCTTGCATTGTGCTTCTTTCTCATATTAATTTGTAAGGTCATGCACTTCCCTCCTTTCTCTCGGCACATATAAATACTTAGAGCAAACTTTCTTCCCTCAGCTTATAACTTCATTTAATTTTAGTTAATTGTATTTTTCCAAGACTATTTCTTTTTCCTTATGGTGCTGGGTCTCCAGGCTAAAGCTTTGTACATCTCTGACGCATGCCCCAAATTCCTGCCCCCACCCCATGTGCATTGCTGTTTTGCATACACGTATGTCTGTCTGAGGATGTCAGATCCTGGAACTGGAACTTCAGATAGTCGTGATCTGACATGTGGGAGCTGGGAATTGAACCCAGATCCACTGGAAGAGTGGCCAGTGCTCTTGTCTGCTGAGATATCTATCCAGCCCCCACCCCCTGCTGTTTATTTTGTTTTAAGCATCCTTTGCCTGCTTGTGTGTCTGTATACTGTTTGCATACTCGGTGCCTGCAGAGCCCAGAAGAGAGCATTGTACAGCTAGAGCTAGAATTATGGGTGGCTGTAAATACCATGTGGCTCTGGCAGTCAAGCCCAGGTCCTCTAGAAGGGTGTGAGTGCTCTTAACTGCTGAGCCATCTCTCTAGCCACAACTCCAAGCTTATTCTTTTATTTGTTTTATGTTTTGCTTTTTTAATCAAATGTATCTTTTTTCTTTCTTGCTTAGGCTTTTCATATTCTAAGGGTATTACTAAATTAAAGAATCCCTATATGTTTTTTTAATGCTTTTATAGTTATACTTTTTATATTTTATTCACTTTTCCAAGTGTATATTTTATATATTTGTACTAAAATAAGCCAGACATAATGATCCTAGCACTGGAAGTCTAAGTCAGAAGGACCATCTTGAGGCCATCCTGGGCTACAAAGCAAGTTTTAAGCCAGCCTACATTATGTGAATCCTTGTCCCAGGAACACAGACAGAGGAAGGGTGCTAAGTGCTTTCTTTGTTTTTAATTTTTTATTATTTATTTTGTGTGTCTGGGTGTTTCATGTACGTATATGTCTATGCATCATATGTTCCTGGTTTCATGGAGGCTAGACGAAGACATCCAGTCCATGGGACTGGAGTTACAGGTGGTTGTGAACCACCATGTAGGTGCTGGGTATTGAACCCAATCCCCTGAATCCACTGAGACATGTCTTCTCCCCCAGTGTGCTAAATGTTAATTGTTGGTTCTTTTCTATGATTTATTAGAGTTAAGTTTTATTGTCATTTATTCATCTTGCTTTAAGTTTTTATAGACAGTAGATGTTCAGTAAAAGCTCAGATGCATGTTGAACGAGAAGTGTTCCTTTCACAGTGTCAAATAGCTTCAGGTACATGCCATTGTGTGCACATTCTTAAAATAGACATACACACACAACTGGAGGTTGAGTGGGGAAGTTTTCATTTTATACCTTCCTGTTTTATCTGATATTTTACAAAAATGTTTATATATTTTACCACAGAATTTATTTTTTAAATTGGAAAATTAATATTGGGGCTAGAGAGATGGCTCAGTGGTTAAAGGTACAGACTGCACTTGCGGAGGACCCTGGTTTGCTTCCCAGGACCCACATACTGGCTTTGTGCCTTCAAGGGTCCCAGACATGCACACTGTGCAGGTCCATACATCCAGACAAACACTTATATACATAAATAGAAATAAGTCCTTTTTAAAAATTAATAACTTTAAAAGGTAAGCGTGTATATTTTAAGCAATCTAGTGACTAGACTGGGAAACTTACCTAGGAGATCTTTCAGTATAATCTTACCACTAAATTTTAATTCAATGCTATTTTTTTTTTGTTTAGGGTTTTTTCAGAATCTGGAAATTTCATCGTGGTTCTTTATTCATTGACACATAAGGAACCTGAATTTTATGAATGCCTTCCCTGTGACAGTAGGACATCTGACCTTCATTTTCAGTTATTGACCAACAAGGAAACTTTACATGTTTTCAATGTAAGTGCTTGAGCTCACCAGTTTGTGGGGTTTTTTCTCTTCACTCTGACCAAAATATCTGAGATAAACAAGGAAGGAGAGTTTTGGGGTTTTTTTGTTTTTTTTTTTTTTAAGATTTTATTTATTTCATGTATGAGTGTGCTATCTGCATGTACGCCTGCATGCCAAAAGAGAGCATCAGATTCCAGTACAGATGGTTATGAGATACCATGTGGTTGCTGGGAATTGAACTCAGGACCTCTGGAGGAGCAGACAGTGCTCTTGTCTGCTGAGCCGTCTCTCTAGCCCTGGAGAAGTTTCTTACAGTTGACGGTTTCAGAGACTTAAGTGTCTGGTTGGTTGGCCTTCTGTGCTAGAACAGAACGTCGTGGTAGTAAGACTGTGGCGGCAGAGAGCTACTCACCTCCTGGCTCGCCGTGAAGCAGGGCAGCAGGAATGCAGACACTCCGCTATCTTCTCCCCTTGATGTAGTCAGGGCTTCCGCATGCGGGATGGTACCCACATTCTGGGTATGTCTTCAACAGTTAATCCTCTCTAGAAACAGTTCATCAGTGACATGCAGAGATGCCTTCTCCATGTAGGTGAACCCAAGTCTAGTCAAGTTGATAGTGGAGAGTAGAGAAATGGCTCAGGGAGGCAGAGGCAGGGGGAGCTCTGTGAGTGAGTTGAGGCCAGCCTGGTCTACGGTGAAAGTCCAGGACAGCCAGGGCTACACAGAGAAACTGTAAACAACAACAACAACAAAATACTCTAAATTTAAAGGATAAGCCAGTGGTGCCTTTTATCTTAGCGCTCAGGAGATAGAGACAAACAGATCTCTATGAATTTGAGGCCAGCCAGGTCTATGTAGTGAATTTCATGGTAGCCAGGGCTATGTAGAGGGACCCTGTCTCAAAAAACAAAACAAAACAAAAAACCCAAAGCAAGAATAAACAGAGGAAACCCTCTTTTATGCTTAAGTGGGCTTCAAGTTCCTTGGCTCAAATAATCTTATATCAGACTCCTTGTGTACCTAGGACTATATGTGTCTACCATTCTGGCTTAGACACTACTTTTTATTAAATTCCTGTTTATCTTAGATCAACTCATCTTGTTTTCTTTGGATTCATTTATGGATTGTATCATTTCATGAATATGTTTTTATATTTTTGTATTATTGTTGTATTCACTGGTTACTGAGTGAGTTCATAATACAGGGTTAGGTTTTTGTCTCATTACAAAGCCAGAAGCCAGGCATTCTACAGAAGCAGGTTACAGAAATCAGAAGTGCTCTTGTCAGTGATCCAGAGCTACTATTCAGATAAATAGAATTTTTTTGGTGTTTTAAGTCAAATCTCAAAAGTAGGGATTGAAGAGATGGCTCAGGTTAAGAACACTGGCTTTCTTCCAAAAGTCCTGAGTTCAATTCCCAGCAACTACATGGTGGCTCATAACCATCTATAGTGAGATCTGGTAACCTCTTCTGGTATGCAGGTACACATGCAGGCCAAACATTTCTACATAATAAATAAATTTTTAAAAATCTCAAATGTATATGACCTACTTCATTTCAGAATGTTGAACCTACTGACAAAAATACAATCCATTTTGAACTCAGTGCTGAGAGTCAAGATGCAGAAATGGAGGCAGAGTTTTTTAGCAAGATTTCCAAGAATCTTTCAGTTAAAAGGTAAAAGATAATCTTTATAAACATGTGTATTTTCTTTACTAGTTATTAGTTTTCATTGAGTAATTAAAATATTTTGGGGGCTAGTTTGATGGTTCATTGGGTAAGTCGCTTGCTATTAAGCATGTTGTCCTGAATTTGATCTCTTGAAGTATAGGTGGCAGGAAAGACGCAACTCCAGAGTTGCTCTCCGGCCTCTACATGTGGAAGCATGCATCATCCCCTCATTTTAAAATAAATACTAACATTTTGTCTGTGTTGTCAGAACCCTAAAGGTCCCTAAGAGAAGGCCAGTTGAATTGCCTGCACAACATAACAGTATGTGCATACAGTGCCTGCAGATCTCCTGGAAATGGAGTTGTAATGGTTGGGAGCTGCCCTGAGGGTACTAGGATCCAAACCAGCCCTCTGCAAAGTAACTGTGGAGCCATCTCTCCAGCTTCTTAGCTTTGTAAAATGTAAACTGAAAATGCCTTTCAGTTCTCTTTAATGTTATATGTTTAGAATATTGTAAGAGAAATATACAGATACAAAGAAATTTTTTATTGCTCATTGAAGTGCTTTGGTTTTATTGAGAAAATGGCTGGCATCAGATATATCTATGTTCAAGTCTTTATTCTGGGAGTCAGAAATTAAAAACGGTGTTTGAATCTCAGAATCCAAATATTGGAAGGTTGTGTTCATTGGAGTTTTGATTTTGGTTTTGTTTTGCCTCTTTTAGCTTCTAGAAACCACCTGTATTCATTGTCCCAAAGCTCCTTACACTATTCTCAGAGCCAATAGCATATCCTCTTCAACTCTCCCATTCCCTCCCTTTTCCTTCACATCGTGTCTCTGACCTGTGCTTCCATCTTCACGTTTTCTCTCATTCTAATCCCAGCTCTTAAGATTATGTTGGGACTGTGGTGGTGGTGCACACCTTTAGTGCCAGCACTCAGGAGTCAGGCAGGCGGATCTCCAAGTTTGAGGCCAGCCTGGTCTACAGAGTGAGTTCCAGGACAGGCAGGGCTACACAGAGAAGCGCTGTTTAGGGTGGGAGGCGTGGAAGGGATTGTACTGGGTCTCGAGGAACCCCAAGCAATCGCTGTCTGCAGAGTCTTAGTCCCATCCACAGGTTCCTTTGCACCCATAGCTATGAGAGGCACCAGGGTTGGAGAGGTGTCTGAAATGCTCCTTCCCATCTTTGTGGGCGTTAAAGTTATCCTCTTTGATGAGGTCACCAGAAACAAGTGCTTCTAGCCTATTGCAGGAACAACTTGACTTTCTAAATTGTAAGCCTTTATTTTACCATTTTATCACATGTTTATGAAAGAAAAGGCCAAGTTAAGGAAACAGAATCCTTGATGTTAAGGGGCTAGGTGTGAGGCTTAGTGGTAGAGTGTTTGCCTAGGGTCTGCAAAGCACTGGGTTTGATCCCAGCACTACCAGAGAACAACCAAGTTGTTGAAACCTTTCAACGCTCAATGAAGCAGTAATGAAGACCTGCTGCTTTTTGGTGAGATAACAATTTAAAGGTTTTCCTTTTGCTTTAGGTGTTTACAAAGTTGAGTTTGTTGTTTTAATTCAGCCAAGAGTGTGTGTGTGTGTGTGTGTGTCATAAAGAAATGTGGCAGTAGCCAGTATTCCACAGGATAATTCATGTGCAAAGTAGTGTGCCCTGTCTTCCTCCATAATTAAACTGAATGTCTACCTTAAGCGTCCGTTCTGCTTGTTCTTTTATTCGCTGTTCCAGAGAGATTTCAGTTCTTGGTGGGAAGGCATAGTGACAGAAGCAGCCCCACCCAATAGCAGTGGACTTGACTGATGGTAACTTCACGTGGTGGGGTCCAGGAGACGTACAGCAGGATGAAATCAGAAGCCAGTGTAACATTCAGAGGTCCTCCCTAACTGACCTATTTCCAACCAGCCATTCCCGACCTACCTCCTGAAGGTTCCATAACCTTCAAAATACCACCACAAGCTGGGGTCCAAATCTTCAAAACCTGAGCCTATGGAATACCTTTCACATTCAAACAATTCAGGGTGCATATCTGTCATACATTTCCAGAAAGTGCTAAGCCTTCTTTCTACATTGTTCAGTGGGGTCAATCAGAAGGTGTTGAGGTACTGTATGTAACAGTTAATAAAGTAGGGTTAAACTTTCAGTAATTGGGTAAATGGGGTAGCTAATTAACTAAACCTGAATAAGCCACCTTTCCTGGTAATTTAACACTGACCAAAGAAAATCATCTGTAGTTGTCAGGTGCTGACTTATTTCAGTATTTACAAAATGACATTGTCACATTTCAAAAAGGAAAAACTACCCTGGTTTGTTGAAGCTTTTTCTTGTCTACTGTACTATTCTTTAGGTCTTCCCAAAAAGTATCTCCTGGGAAAATACCAATAAATAAGCATGATGCTGACCTTGAAGATGAAGATTTTTCTCCAAGACCGATTCCCAGCCCTCACCCAGTGAGTCAGAAGGTAGCACTCTTAAAATGAACTTACTTCAACTAGAAAACTTAAGTGTCTATAGTAAAGCACCTCATCCTTGTAGAAGTGTCATTCTGGCTATTATAAGATCATATCTCTATCTGGGATATGTGTATATATCCCAAAGGTGCATATAGTTAAGTAATAGTACATACATACTTTCACATATAGGTAATAATGTATACATAAGTATAAGAAAACTGAGGTTTCAGTTGGCTGGCTGTCCATGATCACACACCTAGTAAATAGTAAAACTGAAATTCCAATTCTGGGGCTTTGATTTCAGAATTTGGTGCTTTTAGCAATGACATACATAGACTTGGCATTCTGTGTCACCAGTGTTCAGAGAAAACATACTACTTGCATTTAGAGGTTAGTTATCATTAACCATTACTGGCCAAACTTTTTTTAATTGCTATAAACTAGTGAGCTACTTTAGAAATGTTTACCTTAACTGAAATGAAAAGAAATGGAAAAGGTTTTTTGTTTTTTGTTTTTTTTAATTGATATGGTTGCATTCTACTTTTAGAAGTCCACATCCACACTATTGGGTGTTTTAAATTTTTTCCAAGCATCACTTTCTCTTAACCCTCATTAAAATCTCCACCACTGCTTCAAAAAAATGACAGTGTATCAGATTTTATGTTCTCCCATCTTCTATTTAATATTAGAAGTGTTACTTCTTTTTCTTTTTTCTTTTGGTTTTTTGAGACAGGGTTTCTCTCTGTAGCCTTGGCTTTCTTGGACTCAACTTTGTAGACTAGGCCGGTCTCAAACTCACAGAGATCCACCTGCCTCTGCCTCCCTTAGTGCTGAGATTACAGGTGTGTGCCATCAAGCCTGACTGAGTGTTATTTCTTTAAGGAATATTAACACGGGCTATTGTGTTTATTGAAGCATTCTGCCTATACTAATTTTTTTGGCAGAGTGAAGGTAAGAAACTCTAGTATAGTTCGCTTCCACTTGTCTAATCTAGATAATTTTAATCAGTGTCATAATAAAAGTTCCCTTTTAAATAAGTCCGGGAGCTGGGTGGTGATGGCATATGCCTTTAATCCCACTTAGGAGGCAGAGGCATGGATTCTGAGTTTGAGTCTAGCCTGGTCCACATAGTGAATTCCAGAACAGCCAGGGCTATCGTAGAGAGACGCGGTCTCAAAAAACTAAATAAGTTGGGGAATATTTATGTATACGTGAGGGCAACAACTTCGTTTTTTGTGCTCACAGTTGTATTTTTACTGCCATGTACCCAGAAAATATTGGTTGATGGTATAAATAATGAACAAATCTTAATATGTAATTGGATATTTTTGGCAAATGCTTGTCTAAGGAAAATGGAGCAAATAAATTTCCTAAGAATTTTCTCTTTGCTTCCATTTATAGATTTCTAAGATCCAGCCATCTGTTCCTGAACTTTCACTTGTGTTGGATAGCAACTTCACAGAATCAAGCAATGACTCTAACCTGTTGGAAGTGATGAATATGGAGAATTTTTTATTGATGAGGCCATCGCAGCATGAGCTTTGTGATGACAAACATAGTTCAGAAGCTGACGCTGGGGAACCTTCCCTGAAGGGAATACCAAATCAGTTAAGCCAGGACACTGCTTTGAGACAGTGTAGAGGGAAGCAACCATCTTGTAAGAAAGAGAGCCCCCAGCTCAGGAACACTAATGCTCAACCATCTTTCAGTGCGCCATCTCCTGATGTATCCGAGAAACCTCAAGCAGTTTCTGCTGGCAGCATGCAAAATGAAGACTATCCTGTGAGACCTTCCACATTGAATTCTAGGCAGCCCTCTTTTGCTTCACACGCCCACCCACACAATTTTGTTTTTTCACCCCATAATTCAACAAGACCAATGGAGCGTCAACTACCTACACCTTCGCTGCCATCTTACTATTCCACAAACATCTGTAGCTGTTGTCAGCATCATGGCCATATTCAGTATAGTACAATCAATTCTTGGCAGGGAAATACAGTAGGGTCCATTCAGGACCTCCACTCTGAAGCCCTTCCAAAACATGCATTATTTCACTCAAGTGGATGTCCGCCTCTGTGTCATAAAGCCATCTTCTCTTCCAGTAGCCCTGTGGCCACGAAACCTCAGGGAGGCATGGGCAGTTTTTCTCCCCACAGCAATGAAGACCCATCCCCTGTGGCAGGACCTTCACATATGGACTCATGTGTGCCACAGCCTTGTGCCATGTGCATGCACACACCCAGCACAGCTCCAGATAATGGCATGATGGGACTATCTCCTGATGCATATCGCTTTGTCACAGAGCAGGACAGACAGCTGAGGCTACTTCAGGCCCAGGTTTGTATGGAACTTTCTCAGTACTCTTAGATTCTCAGATATTTCCTTAGTATCTGTCAACTCTACAGTGATATGCTTTATAGAGCTGTAGACCTTAGCCGCTGAGTTCTAGTCCCTCTTGTTTTGCAGATAAAGTTAGTGTTAGAGAGAATAACCTAACTCCGCTCCATATTATCGGTTAATAGAACAAGGACCAGAGAGCAAGCTTTCCTTCTATCTCTGCATCCTAATCTACAACATAATCACATTTTCTTTCAGTTTTTCTCTAAACCTTTATTATACAGCTAAATCCAAAGGCTGGCAGGTTGCTAGTTTGTAAGCCTTTGTGTATACTCATCTGAGCCAGTGACTCTTTAGGACCTTACTTGCTACTGTATTTGAGACTAAATAAGAGAGCAGTTTAGAACCACTGCTTGTTTTATGTGTGTGTGTTGGTTTTTTGAGACCTGGACTCATAAGGCCTAGGCCTTGAACTTTTCATCCAAGAACCTAGGTCTTGAACATTTGCTCTTCTGTCCCCACCTACCCTGTACTGGACTACAGATATGCACCACCACGTCTAGCTGTCCATGTCTGTAAAAGGCCTGTTCCACTCATTTTACTCTGCAATATTCCCTTTCTTCAGGACTTTCATTACAGGCTTCCTAAATTTTTAATTTATCCTTATTCAAAGGTTAGTCTGATTTTGCCTTTTCCCCCCCCTCATTTCTATCACCCTTTGCCCACATACATATCCCAAACCAGTTCTTCTCTTCACAACCAATGCTAGTGAAAATTACTTGAAGTGTATGTTTCATATTTTTTTTCTTGGCCCTGTAACTATACAAACACAACTCTATAATCTGTTATTTAGAAAATTCTTTGTTTTAAAGCATTTTTAAGGCCATTCTAGGCTCTATGAGTCTCTATTTTAAAAAGGGGGGGTGGAGAGATGGCTCAGCTGTTAATATAAAAAGTTAAATAAAATTTTTAAATCTTTTATAAAATTGCATTTTAAAAAAAGACAAAGGTTTTCAAATTCTGCTTAAAATTTTTCTGATAGAAACACCTGATAAAATTAAGTGTATGTGTGTAGTGCTGTGTGAGTGTATGTGAGTCATATGCATGCCTGTGCCAGAGGTAGAGAGGGCATTAAATTCCTGAAGCTAAGTTACTGGTGGGTGGATGCCAGCTGCTGCCGGTGCTGGGAGCCATCTCTCCAGCCCCAGCTTTTCTTTTTAAATAGACGTAAATTCTCTGAGATTTACGTAAGTTTGGACTTTAATAAATCATTAAAGACTAAACGAAAAATGTTAATATAGTAAATAATATCTTCATATTGAAAAGGACTATCATTTATTTTCTGTCTTGCTTAAGAAAGATAAAACCTAAAGAGAGACGTCTGAAGAGATGGCTTAGTGGTTAAGAGCACACTGGTTGTTCATCCAGAGGTCCTGAATTCAATTCCCAGCAACACATGGTGGCTCATAACCATCTATAAGAGTCTGATGCCCTCTTCTGTCATGCAGATGTACAGGAAGACAGAACACTCATGTGAATAAATGAATAAACCTTTAAAAAGAACTGTAGTGATCCATTAGACTGTTTAGAAACCTTAGCTACTTACAATGTATATTTATAGACTGTGAGTTCTCATCTAAATAATCATTACATGAACTATGACAGAAAAATTTTTCCTCATAATTTTTCCCTCTGTAAAGGAACTCTGGGTGTGGCACACGTGTGTGCGCATGTGGAGGCCCAGGGTCAGCCTTACATGTTCCCTCAGAAGCTACCCACCTTGCATTTATCATCGTCATCAACAACACTGTTATTATGACTGATGAGAACAGCTATTTTGTAGATTACAGCAGTTTCAGAGTAATACATACTATGAATGGATTAAAGCTTTTACAAACATCTAAATATGAATTGAAGGAACAGGAGTCACACAGAAGAAACCTGGAACTACGGGCAGCCGTTTCCTCTAGAAAGAAGAGTTGAGATAGCCGAAGAGGATAATGCGATGGGGCATAAACATAGTTTAATGTTATTGATGCATTATTTCCATATCACACAATTTACCTACTTGAAGTGTATAATCCAGTGGTTCTTTGTGGTTTTTAAGTGTTTTCGAGACAGTCTCGGTGGGACTTGGGGTTTAGGCTGGGCTGACTGGTCAGAGAGTCTGAGCGATCTGCCTGTCTCCACCTCCTCAGTACTCCCATTGCAGGTGCACATGACACCTGGCTTGTACTGGTGCTGGGGATAAAGCTCCAGTCCTCACGTTTGCATGGCAGGCGCTGTGCCAGCTAAGCTATTCCCCAACCCCAGCTAACTTCCCGACAATTTTCCTGTGAATGCAAAAGAAGTTTATTGCAGTGGGTCATCTGAGAGTACACATGGCCTTTCTAATTGTTTTTTCCTGTTCTGTCAGCAGTTTGACCTTTCTTCCATTGCAGTTAATGCGCCCGATACTTGTGATTTAAGTGCATTTTTATGTATTTATTATTTATTTGCATCTCTAAATTGGCCTTAGTGGCTCAGCCATCTTTCCAGCCCACTTTATTTGCATCTTTTATTTACATTTTTAATTGCATATGTGCTAACATTACAATGCCATAGACATAATCTTAATTTTTTTTTTGTTCCCTTTGTGTGTGCTTATGTTGTACGTGTGAATGGAAAAGGGTCAAGGAGTCAGTTGTCTCCTTCCAACACATGAGTCCTGGGGATCAAACTCGGGTATATCAGGCTTGGCAGCAAATGCCTTAACCCACTGAGCCATCTCACTGTCCCTCTAGAAGTAAATTGTGAAGTCGAAGGAAATGGTTTTTTGTTTTTTGTTGTTGTTGTTTTTGTTTTAAGTTCTGAGATACCCAGACTTGGGTTAGGGATATAGCTCAGAGGTGGAGCACTTGCCTAGTAATACAAAAGGATGCTCAAACTTGCTTCTCTCCTAATAGTCAGTCTTTTTTATATAATACTTAATGGAGTGGGCACATGAATTGAACAGATTCCTTAGATTCTAATTCAGTTTCCAGCTGATATAGATGTTATGTAGCCTTAGAAAAGCAACCTTATTGATAATTATTTACTCCACTAAAATTAATTAAACTAGTTAATCATAGTATAGGAAAAAAATCAAAATATTTTCTTAAATATTTTAAAAATCAACAACAAAACAAATAAAGGGTGATATTTCTCACTCTAGTATATATTCAAGAAAAATTGAAAACCCTGTGCATAAGCTGCTGTGGTGGTACACCAGGAGATAAAGGAAGTGGAAAATGAATCTGGGAGGACAGCCTGAGCCACAGAACGGGAGGTTTTAGGTCATCTGGGACTATTTAGCAAAGCCCTATCAAACCCTTATATATAAATGTTCATCACAATATCATTCACAACAGGCCAACCTATAAATAGCCTAGTTGTCACTCAACTTTTGATTGTTGGATAAACTCGGTAAACATATACCTACGGTGGAGTATTCAGCAGTCAGAATGGTTAATGTGGTTAGTCTTGAAAGCTTTATGCAAAGAGAAAGAAGTCAGGCACACGGCTTAGGTCTTGTCTGAATGAAATGTCCAGAATCAGCAAGCTAGAAGGTGTGTTAGTGGGTACAAAGGGCAGGAGAGGGGGGGAGTAAGGATTGACAGTGAATGGATAAAAAGGCTATGCTCTGGAATTAGTAGTGATTATTGTTTTATGTTTTGTGAATATACTATAAACTTCAGAATTGGGTGAATTCTAAGGTATGTCGATTACATCTCCATTTGAAAAGGAGGAGGGAACGCTCTTTGGTGTTGGGACCTCGGTTTTACTACTTGCCATACAATCTCCACAGGTTACTAATGTTTCGAGTTTCCTACCTGTACAATGCATTTTAACAGTACACTCTTCATGGAATTGTGAAACTCACATCAAATCTGTGGTATGGGGCTAGAGAAATGCACTGTGGTTAAGGGCACAGCTGCTTTTCCAGAGGACTGGATTTAATTCCCAGTATCCACATGATGGGTCACAAGTGCTTATAATTCAAGCCCCAGTGGATCTAATGCTCTCTCTGGCCTCCAGGGCCACCATGCATGTAGGTGATGCAGATAAAACACCCATACACCTGAAATAATCTATGGTACGAGTGTCTTACAGATAAGAAAGAGCCAACCAGTATTAGCAATTGTTTGTTACTGTTTTGTTTCAGTGTGGCCACACATGAGCAATTTTGACTAAACTTTATAAAAAGTTATGTAAAATGCTTAATATTGGTACATGGAGGGTATGCCTCCATCTCCATTCTTACTTGATTTATAAATGAAGTAGTAATAAAATATATTGGTTTGGGGCCTGGAGAGACAGCTCAGCAGTTAAGAGTACTGTCTACTCCTCTACAGGTCCTGAGTTCAATTCCCAGCAACTACATAGTGGATCCCAGCCATCTATACTGGGATCTGATGTCCTCGCCTGGCATGCAGATGGAACACCTGTATACATAAAATAAATAAAAATAAAATATATTGGTTTGCAGTCTTTAAATAAAAAGTATGATTTGAAACCATTCAGACTTTCCATGTAAGTGTCAATTTATGAATAACTAACCACCTGTATGTTTCACTTTTAAAATTATACTTAGTGAAAGTAGGTCTTAGTAACCAATGATAATGGCTTCCCCACTAAATAAGTCTCATGGTATGATTTAATTGTATTGTGAGAAAACACAGTTAAAAGTCAGCTCTGTAATGACTAGAGTATTTGTAATTTTCCAAACTGTGCTACCTGTTTTGTTGATTACTGTTTTGCCTGTTTTAATTAATTGATACAGATTCAGCGCTTATTGGAAGCACAGTCTCTAGATCCTGGCACCCCTAAGACGGTGGAAGGCACCATGAAGGCCACAAAGCAAATGGAGCTGGTTTCCATGGGAGCACAGTCTTCTGGCTTGCACATGAAAAAAAGTGTAAGCATTGCTGTGAGCACAGGTAACTATTTTTTTTTTCAGTTGTAAGAAATGAGTTTCTAGTGCTCACATTTGCCTTTTGAAAGAAAGGAACGGAGGAAGGAGATGGCTGAATACAGTGCCTGCCAGACAAGCATGAGGATGTGAGTTCAGATCTGCAGCACCTATGTAAAAAGCCAGGTGCAGTAACGTGCATCTATTATCCTAGCACTGGAAGGCTGCAGCAGGATGCCTGGAGCGCTCTGGCTGACACAGCATCTTGCCCAGTCAGTGAGCTCAAGTTCAGTTCTCAGAAAAATAGGGTGGAGAGTAGTAGAGAAAGACACCTAATAATGACCTCTGGCATCCACGTGCATTCGTATGTGTGTGCTCACACTTGTACACATATTCCACACTCATTACAGAACACACCCAAAGAAAGAAAAAGTGTAATATTTTTCTGTCTTGTGAAATTCTGTATTTACTGTACTGTTGTCCCTTTTTGTTTTTGTTGGGAGGTTGGTTGGCTGGTTTTTTTGTTGTTGTTGTTGTTTTTTTTTTTTTTTTTTTTTCCTAGAGGAGAAGAGGAGTTCAAGATAGGGTTTTTCTTTTTTCTCTAAAGATTTATGTATAGAGTGCTCTAGTTGCATATACACCTGCATGCTGGGCTGGGGGCATTGATCACATTTTAGATGGTTGTGAGCCACCAAGTGGGTGCTGGGGTTTGAGGTCAGGACCTCTAGAAGAGCAGCCAGTGCTCTTAATTGCTGAGCCATCTCTTCAGCCCAAAATAGGGTTTTTCTGTGTAGCACAGGCTGGAACTCACTCTGTAGACCATGCTGTTTTCAAATACAACCTGCCTCTGCTGCCCAAGTGCTGGATTTAAAAATGTGCACCACCACCGCCCAGCTGTTGTAGCTTCTTATCATCTGTTTCTATCACTAGATCAACTTGTTAGGATCTAGAAATGGCTTACCCACTTTTATATCGTTTATCATACATGGAAACTTAATATACTTATTGAAAGTGATAAATGAAGTCATTGACATGTTTGTGGGGTTTGTTTTGTTTGGGTTTGGTTTGGTTTTTTTTTTTTTTTGAGACAGGGTCTCTATATAGTCCTGACTATCCTGGAACTTACTATGTAGACCAGGCTGTCTTGGAACACCCAGAGAGCCTCCTTTCCTACCTCTGCTTCCCAAGTGCTGGAATTAAAGGCTTGTGCCACCAAACCCAGTTCCAAAACAAATTAATAGTCATTTTAACTAAGAGACGTATAGAAGTATATTCATTTTATTTAACTTTCTCTGAAGGTATAGAGTAATCAGGACTTAACACAACTTTTCAAAATTCTTTTTTTTTTTCCTGAAAGAATATGAATGTCAAGTTAAACCTCGATATTATTGATTTATTTTCATAAGATCACGCAAGTAGAAAGTGTTTTCATGGTGGTACATGCCTGTAGCCCAGGTACTCTGGAGGGTCTTGAGTTTGTACCTTGTCTCAAAAACAAGTAAAAGGAAAGGAAGAAGAAAGAAACCATTTCAACTTAAATTTTTTGCTTCATCAAACCATTGCACTAAAGTGTTTCCCAGGTTGGAGAGGGAATGTATATAGGTCAGGGTGCAAGAGATTATTTGAGGTAGTGTCCAGATGAGTGTCTTAATTTTGTAAGTCTGTTTTTCTTTTTAGATTTATTTTATATGTGTGAGTATTTTACCTGCATATATGTATGTATGTTCACTAGCTGTATGTCTGATGCTAGCAGAGTTAGAAGTTGTTAGATCCTGTGGACCTGGAGTTAAGGATGGTTGTGAATCACCATGTGGGTGTTGGGAACCCTAACCCAGGTCTTCTCTAAGAACAAGTGCTCTTAACCAGTAAGCCTTCTTTCTAGCCCCAATTATTTATTCTTATCTGTAATGGAAAAGGTATGACTGGCATATCAAGCCTGTGACTTCACAGAAGTGGTGAAGCTAGGTAAAAATAGAGTGAGTTTATGTAACAGAAATTAGAAACAAATACTGTATAGATAGGCTCTGAAAATGTACAAATAACTCCTTACATTAGAGAAGCACTGGGTTGTTTTTTAAGTGTGTATGTGTCTTATGTGCATGTTTACATGTGTGTGCAGGTATGCTCAGCCTGTATGAATACATGCCAGAAATTGGCATCCGTCTGTCTTCTCATTTGCTTCTCTGCTCTGCCTGCCTGTCTCTCTCTTTCTTCCTTCCTTCCTTCCTTCCTTCCTTCCTTCCTTCCTTCCTTCCTTCCTTCCTTTCGCTCTCTCTCTCTTTCTTTCTTCATTTCTTTCTCTTTCTCTCTCTCCTCTCTCTTTTTCTTTCTTTATTTATTTTGGTTTTTCAAGGTAGGTTTCTCTGTGTAGCCATACCTGCTAGAACTCATTCTATAAACCAGGCTGGCCTGGAACTCAGAGATCTGCCTGCCTCTGCGTCCCAAGTGCTGGGATTAAAGGTGTGCACCACAGCCTGGCTGCTTTCTTTCATAAGAAAGGCTAGGCTACCAGCCAGCAGGTGGCTTTTACATGGGTACTAAGGATCCAAATTGAGATCCTTATGCAAGCAGTTCCCCAAAGCACTTGATTTTTAAATACTTACCTGGCAGTATGTGTGCCTTCTGCACCTCTAACACAGTTTCTTAGAACAAAACCAGAGAACCTATGAATTTACAGGGTTTTTTGTTTTGTTTGTGTGTGTGTGTGTGTGTGTGTGAATGTTTTTTTTTTTTTTTTCCTTTTCTCCTGAGCTATTTCCATTTTATTTTGAGACAGACCTCTATTAATGTAGCACAGATTGGTCTTGGACTTGTTACATATTCCAGGCTATACTCCATTCATGATGCTCCTGCCTCAGCTTCTTGAGTCCTAGAATTACAGGCATGCCACTGTACCTGAATTTGAGAAGCAGAGCCTCCTCTTGAGCAGGCAGGATACATGTCCCCTGTCCCTTGCCACTGGTTTTCTGTTTCCCTGACTTTTACCTACATCTCTTTGTGGCATTTTTTTTTTTTGGTAATTTGAAACAGTGTAATTTGTTAAGATAAAGTAGCCGGCTTGTTGTTGTTGTTGTTGTTGTTGTTGTTGTTGTTAATGCACAAGTGCTTCATCTGATGTAACCCATGGATGCTGGAGAAGAACATCAGATCCCAGTATAGACAGTTGTGCGCCACCATGTGGGTGCTGAGAATTGAACTCGGGTCCTCTGGAAGAGCAACCAGTGCTCTTAACCACTTGAGCCATCTCTCCAGCCCCAGTAGATGGTTTTTACAGTATTACATTTATTCTTTATCTAGTTGAATATTTGTTTTAGTATCTGAACTAATTTAACCCCCAGGTGCTAGCTTGTTTTGGAACGCAGCAGGTAATGATCAAGAGCCGGACTCACAGCTGAAGCAAGATGATACCAAGATTTCCAGCGAAGACATGAACTTTTCTGTTGATATTAATAATGAAGCAACAAGTCCTCCAGATAGCGCATCCTCATTGAAAGCAGTTGACATTCCCAGTTTGGAAGAGAGCTGCCTTGCTGTGGAGGAGTCTAATCCGCCAGAGTCTAAGTAAGAGCCTTCTGCTCACTGTTTCACACCACTCACTACTTTTTTTTTAACATTTTCTTTCTTTGCAATGCTAACGATTGAATATATTTTATATTCGGGGGCTGTTTTTGTTTTGTTTGTTTGAGACAGGGTCTTTCTATGTAGCCCTAGCTGTCCTGGACCTCATTATGCATAGCCTGGTCTTGAACTCATAGTGATGTGCCTGCCTTTTTGCGCAGGTTAAAATGTGATTTTTACATTTATATACATAGTATAGAATAATTAAATTTGGCATTCAAAATTATGACCTCATATTTTTTGTGGTAAAAACATTTAAAATTTGCTCTGCAATTCTGAAATGCACCATGCACTATTATTTATTATAGTCAGCAGTGTGTACATTTTCTTTCTCTTTGAGACATTGATATACTTACTGCATTTTCATTGATGTATTACATAGTGTCAGTATAACAGAATCTCAAAGAGAACTTTCTTCATCTGTTCCCAATGTCAGTTGTTGGGTTTGTTAATCTCTGAATCACAACATCTTGAGACAGCTTCAGCATTCTGTGTGCTCAGGCCTCACTTTAGAGATTCTGGTAATACAGGGTTCAAAGGACTGTACAACTATGTTTAAAAGAGACAACTAAATATTTATATATAAAATGTAATTTCATATGTGTGTTTCAAAATTAGGAGATGAGCTGACTAAATGTAGAAACAAAGTCGGGTAGTGGTGATGCACACTTTTAATCCCAGCACTCTGGAAAAGGCAAGCAGATCTCTTGAGTTGCGAGGTCAGCCTAGTCTACAGAGTCCAGGACAGCCAGGGCTACACAGAAAAACCCCAACTCGAAAAATCAAAAAAACAAAAAAGGAATTTGACAAAATGGTAATTTTAAAAACATTGTATATGGTGTTTCGTTATAAACAGTTTTCACTTGTGTTTAGTGTTTTTCTATTATAAAATTTTCTATTAAAGTAATGATTCCAAAGTAATTTAGATTCTCAGTAAATTTGGCCAAATTTAGCAAAAGTTCTTTGAACTTTCAGCATGTGCTACAACACGTGGCACTTAGTGACCCAGCAGTGAGTAAAGCTGAGCTCCCAATTGTATGAGTTTAACCACATCAGCAATAAAAATGAGATTGTTTCATGGAGTGACCATTGCTTTGAAGAAAGTAAACCAGGGTGGTCAGAGGATGTAAACTAGGATGGAGGTGGGGGTGATATACATGGGACATATTCAGGAGAGTGGTAGAGCAAGGCTCTGATCTAACATTTGAGCAGTGGTCTGAACAAGAAAGAGCCAGTCATGACACTATCTCAGAAGAATGTTCTGGTTGAAGGAAATGGCAAGTATATAAACACCCTAGGTGTATGTGAGCTTACGGTGTCTAGAAACAGAGACACAGGCTGGACATAGTGACTGAACAGGAAAGAGTAGAAAATAACGTCAGAGATAGAGAAGGGATCCAAATTGGATAAAGCTTTGTGGGTTTTGGATGATTTTTTTTTCATCTTCTTTAAAATAAGGTGTTAGACAGTGTTGTTCTGTAATCTGGTTTGCATTTTTTGAAGACACTTCAGGTGATTTTTGTGGAGAACTGAAGGTGGGATTAATAGTAGAAGTTGAGAGACTTGTACAAAGAACAGTAGAATGAATGAAGGTGCTGTGGCCTAGTTTTGAGGGTAAGAAGAATACCTCAGGCAATGTCATACGAACTTCTAGAGAAGAGAACTCGGATGTGAAGTAAATAGCATGGGAAAAACAGACTTTATTTATTTTTTTTTTCAAATTAAAAGCTTTCTCATACTAATTGTTATTTAAAATTATTGATTATATAATAGTTAAACCAATGAATATGTGCCTCCAAAAAGCTAATAGAAACACATACTTTTTATTCCATATCTGTTTTAATGACAGATTTTAATTAAATGTTCATTGTATATACCAGTTTATTTAAAAGCCTTTTGTGAACATATGTACGTCTATCCAGCTAGCCTGAGTTCCTAGAACAGTGTGGTAATGGTGTTAGCTCATTCATTCATTCATTCATTCATTCATTCATTCATTCAGACAGTCTAGCTGTCCTAGAACTTGTTATGTAGCACAGGCTGGCTTTGAACTTGTGAACCTCCTGCCTCAGCCTCCTCCTCCTTACAGGTGTGCACTACCATGTCCAGCTCATGTTAAATTCTAAATAAATGTTTACTGACAGAAATGGCCCCAAGTCTATATTATTTGGAATAATGTCAGAAACTCAGAGAGTTTACCTTTTGTCCTCCTTGACTTAATTCTTTTTTTTAATTAATTCATTTTTTATATATGTGAGTATTTTACTTGCATGATTATCTATATACCTTGTAGTTGCTGTCACTTGCAGAGGTCAGAAGAGGGCATGGGATCCCCTGGAACTGAAGTTACAGATGCTTATAAGCCACCATGTGGGTGCTAGGAACCAAACCCAGGTCCTCTGGAAGAACAGCCAGTACCTTTAACCACCGAGTCATCTCTTCAGCCCCTTCCTTGACTTAATTCTGTTCAGAATTCTTTCTAGCATTGTTAAAGTTTTCAAATCTTTGAAAATCTCTAATCCTTTGGTAGTTACTTCAGAAAAAGACCTAGTTTAACTGATAGAATTAAAAAGTTAATTGCTTTTTCAGAACACTTAATCATCTCCATTGATTGTAACACATACAAGATGTACATCTAGTCCCTTTTATTTTTTCCAGCATATAATCTATTGACTTAGAATCAATACGATCTCTAGGCTAGATGTGATGGCATTTAGAATACGGAGGCAGGCAGAAAACAGTCATGAGGATGAGGTCAGCACAAACTACATAGAAAGACTGTTCTAAAAACCATCTTCAGAGCTGTCCATGGTGGTTTTGCTGGTCTGTGGTCGTCCCTGCTGAGTATTCTCTTCAGTGTCCCTTAGCTCTCCAGGCTCCAGTTCCTCTTGGACATCTGCAGATAAGTCTTTGTTGTGTTGGAACAAGATATGTTTATTGCTGTGCAGCTTAATTGGTTATTGATTGCTTTTTCTCACCACTCAGGAAAGTGGTGGTTTAAGGCATCTGTAGAAACATTGTTTAAAACAATTTTTTTAAGAAGCCATGCTATGGATATATTGGCATATTGGAATCATCCTTTGAATTTTTGTTTTAATCTTAAATTTTTTGAGGTTTAAAATCTTCCACGTCATCTTTTTCAGCTTTGGTTTTTATTTACTAGTTTAGACACTCAGATAATTGTGTATGTGTGTGGTGTGTGGTGTGTGTGTGTGTGTGTGTGTGTGTGTGTGTGTGTGTGTGTGTTGTGTGTGTGTTTTCAAGACAGGGTTTCTCTGTGTAACAGCTTTGGCTGTGCAGGAACTCTCTTTGTTGACCAGGTTGGCCTCAAACTCAGAGCTTCTCCTGCTTCTACCTCCCAGGTGCCCCTGGGATTGGAGGTATGTACCACTCTCGCCTGGCTATAAAATCTTTTTTGTTTGTTTGTTTCTTTGTTTTTGAGACAGGGTTTTTCTGTGTAGCCTTGACTTTCCTAGACTCTCTTTCCAGACCAGGCTGGCCTCAAACTCACAACCATTGTTCTGCCTCTGCCTCCCTGAGTGCTGGGATTACAGGTGTGCTCCACCGTGCTTAGCGTTTGGTTTGGTTTGGTTTGGTTTGGTTTGGTTTGGTTTGGTTTGGTTTGGTTTGGTTTGGTTTGGTTTGGTTTGGTTTGGTTTGGTTTTTTAATTCTTGAGCACACAATATATCTCAGTGATTATGAGCACACTCTTTGGTCTGAGCGTCCAGTTTAAGTCATGGCAGTATGACCATGGACTGTTCTCATGATCCCCATTTGACTGTTTTCCCGTGTGTAAGATGAAAATAATAGATTCTGATTATTGTGAGAATTAAATGTTTATATGGAAAATAGTCAGAACAGTGTCTGCAGCTGTGTAGCCAGCGTACAGTTGACAGTGAAAACTGAGAAACTATTATGTGGCTCAGTTTCAGAGGTTTCAGTCCTAGTAGATGGCAGCATTGCTGTGGGCCTTTAATGCAGCAGGACCCAGAGAACCTGAGCTCTTGAGAGGGCTTTGTCCTGATTTTCTTTACCGTGACCGCCAGCTGATTAGATGGTGCCTGGCCTTATCTTCACCATTTTTAAAAATTGAGTGTTTTGATTTTATAAGAACACCACTTCACATAAACACATAATACAAAATGACAAGTATATTTAGGGTATTTCAGAGCCATATTCTAACACAGTACAATCCAAAGAAGAAGGATAAGAAAATATTAAACTTTTGTTTAAACCATTATGTTTCTATAAGAACAAAAACTTTGTATATAATGTAAACACTGTAGTTCATAACATGCCATAATCTTGAATCTGAGCCACAGCATTTCCGACAGCTTTCATTGAAGTATCAAGGTGTGATGAGCATGCTCAGTGTGTGTACTGTGTGTTCAGAACAAAGGTTGCAGTGAAGTCATATGATGTGGTATTGACTTTACCTTGGGATGCTTGTTAGTGGCCTGAAACTGAGGATTCTGCTTCTGCCTCCTAAGTGATAAGACTCATTGGGGCTGGAAAGAATGCTTACTGCTTTCTAGAGGATCTGAGTTTGGTTCCCAGCACTCATTGTCAGGTGGCTCACAGCTGCCTGCAACTCCAGCCCAGGAAAACCCAATGCTTCTGGCCTCCACAGGTATCCACACATACCAACACACATATATACATGTAATGTAAAATAAATCTTTGGAGGCTGCAGAGATAGCTCAGGGGTTAAGAGTACTAGCTGTTCTTACAGACAACCCTGGATCTTTTCCTAGCTCAGATATCTAACACCTGGAACATTAGTTCTGGGGGCCTGACTTGGTCTGGCCTCATTGGGCCTTTACATATACACAGTGCACATAAACTCACACAGACACACAAATAACTAAAAGATTCCAGTCATGCCACCATACCTAGCTGTTTTGTCTATTTTTTTGTAAGCGCCATAGATCAGTGTTCTAACTAGAAATGTGCTTATAATGCTGCTTCTCCCAGTTCTGTTTTTATTTTGAAAGTAATAAATGCTCTAAAGTTGAAAAAACAAAAACATAAAGAAGAAATACCACCAACTAAATAATGTGATTAATAATTGTGGCTTATGAACCTTGAATTGACAAGGATCTTTTCTATGTGAAAACTTGAAGTGAGAAAATTATATATTTAAAATGTTGAGATATCCTAAAAGGTTTTCCTGCATCAGATTTAGACAATGTCAGTAGCTTGGTTCTAGCCTTCAGTGAAAATCATCTTAAATGAGACAGTAACTTAAAACAGTGCTGTGGTTGGTTTATATGCAGACCATCAGGACAGTATACCTTACTAAGAGTTGAGTATATAAACAAAGTGTTGCTTGGGTCTTACCGCTTTCTTCCAAAATTACTGCACTTCAGATATATGGTAAAAGTGTTTTCATAACTGTTAACCCTGTATGTCCTTTCAAGCAGCTCTCCAGAGCAGAGCAAAGAACCTGATGTGCCTGTGTTCTTCCCAAATGCTATGCTGGCTGAGAGTGTGAGCATGTGCTTACAGACTGCACCAACAGAGGAAGCCAGAAACAACACTGACTCACCAGGAGGGCCAAAAGTTGAACCTTCCTGGCCAACAGATAACCAGAAAATTTGCCAGGACTTGTTGGTAAGTGTAGACCATTTCTCCTTTTGTGAAGTGGCTATTTAATGTAGGAAATACTAGTTTAGCTTTCCCCAGATTTAAAATGATTGAGACCTTTTTAAATAGAATCATTTTTAGCTATTTAGCAATATGTAATTATTTAGCTTTTCACAAATTTTGATAACTTACAAGCTTTCTAGTCATCAGATACTAGATACAAGAACAAATAATCTTTATTTTAAGAATACATATGTTAAACCAGGTGCAGTGGCGCACACCTGTAATCCCAGCACTCAGGGAGGCAGAGGCAGGTGGATCTCTGTGAGTTTGAGGCCAGCTGGTCTACAAAGCAAGTCCATGACAAGCAAGGCTACACAGAGAAACCCTTTTTCAAAAAAACGAGAAACAAATATTACTATTCTGCCAAAATCATTCTATAGCTGAAACAAGAGGGGAAAAAAAGACAAGCAACTTGAGTTTGTGAGGAATTTGAAAATAGTGGAATATTTATGACGTTATTAACTGATTTCAGTTCAGGTAGGCAGATAATTAATAAATATTTAGCTTAGTCTAGAAAAAAAAGATTTGCTCTGTATCACACTCCAAGCCAGCCTGGTCTACATAGTAAGTTCTAGAACAGCGAAGGCTACACAAAGAAACCCTGTCTCAAAAACCAAAAAAGAAAAAAACAACTACCACCAAACAACTAAGCCAGCAATGGTGGCTCATTTTTCTAATAATAGCACTCAATAGGCAGAAACAGGCAGATCTCTGAGTTCGAGGCCACCCTTGACATTTTGTTTCTTTAAAAAAGAAAGAAAGACAAATAAACTTGTATCATTGCAAGTATACTGGTACTTTATGAAATTTGACAAGATAATACTTAGCCTGCCTTATGACTTTATCCTAAAATCTTAAGGTTGAGGGCCAGAGGGGGCTGCGCAGTTCACAAAGCTCGCTCTCTATTCGAGGACTAGAGGTTGATTCCCAGCACCCAGGTCAGGTGGCTCACAACCACTTACACTGCAGCTTTGAAGGCACCCACACGCACACAGACACACACAGAAATAAATAACAAGGAAATCTTTATTTTAAAAAGGATCTTAAGATTGCTATTGAGTTTTAGGTGCATTCTTTTTCTTTCCATAGGGTCAAGTGAACCACCTACTGAATAACTCCTTCCAAGAAACTAATCAACCAGCTACCAAAGCCATAGTTATCAACCATGAATGCACCAAAACCCAGACTACTCACCATGCAAGGAAAAATAAACACAATTCAGAACTGGTAGACAAAGATTGTGTGCTCAGTGCAACTATTAAACAGCTAAGGAGCCTCGGAGTGAAAATTGATTCTCCCACTAAAGTGAAGAAAAATGCCCAGAAAGTGGATCATGCCAGGTAACTTTAAGTTGTGTTAGAGAAGATGAATAAATGCTAGTATATTGCAGTGGACCGCCGCACCTCGGGCCTGCTGATTGGCCACTTACTGAGAGCCTGCTGGATGTGACGTGCAAATACCATCTTTATACTCTCCAGTCATCTAGTGGGAGAGAATACATAGAAAAGTTGACTGAGGGCTTTGTCCTATGGATTTAGTCTTTTATTGGTATCTTTCCTGCTAATAAAATACTGGAAAAGAGAAATGTGTTTTATTGGCGGTGTCTGGAAGTTCCACTGGAAGTGGTGGAGTGACACACCAGTTCCCGGTGCAGGCGCACACTCTGCCGTTTTGGCAGTGTGCAGCCAACTATTAGACCCTTCTGTTTAGTTTCCTCTCTCCCAAAGCCAACCTCAGCATATATACACCTGTTAAAAAGAGAATAAAATCTAAAAATTATATTGTTACTCCAGTAAGTTTTCTCATAATTGTTTCTGTTATTAAAAAACTAACAATTTCGTAGTTTTTAGAACAGGCATCGTTGGGGCAATGTAAAATGAAATACAAAAGTTCCCATTTCTTCAAACTCAATGTGTAGCATTTGTGGTTACTCCTAGAAATATTATTTGGGTATGTGCTGGGAACTGAACTGGGACCATGAAGAGCAGCAAATGCTCTGTCTGCATCATCCCTATACGCCAGGAGAGGGCATCAGATCCTTTTCTAGATTATGAGCACCATGTGGGTGCTGAGAATTGGACTCTGGAAGAGCAGCCAGTGCTCTTAACTGCTCATCAAGCCCCTCTGATGCTTTTAATTGCTGTATTATATTGTGTTGTATCCATGTACTATAATATGTTGAACCCTCATTTTGCACTTTTGTGCACTGTTTAAAGCAGTTCTAAGTAAAGGGAATACTTGTCATTCTGCAAGTAGTTGTTCAAATTAAACTTAAAAATGGGTGTTTTACCATTGCTTGCCAAATATTTATATTCATTTTAATCTTTACCAGTAGTACAGGAAAATAAGGCTAAAATTTTTGAAAGTTTTTCTCTTTGAAAAAAAATATACATTTATTTGTGTGTGTGTGCATGCATGTGTGTGTAAGAGAGAGATCAGAGAATAACTTGGAGTCAGTTCTCTACTTCCACCATGTGGTCATTAGGCTTAGCAGCCAGGGCCTTTGCAAATTGAGCTACCTCAAAGGCCCTGATGGTTTTATTTATATACTGAAAGATGAGAGATTCAAACATCTGTGACCACAGTTTCTCCACTTCAAGGGATCCAGGGCTCTCTTCTGTTCTTTAGGTACCAGGCACATATGTGATGCACATATGTACACATAGGCAAAACATTCGTATACATAAAATTAAAATAACTCTAAGGGGAAAAAAGCATGAGAAAGAACTGCATGGACCTGTGGGAATCCGCAAGTTCCGTGTGCTTCCTGTGCGGCACGATGTTTGTTTGAAGAGCTCATTATATAGGCCAGGTTCATTGTTCTCTTGCCTTAGCCTCTCTTCCTGATTACAGGCATGATTAAGGCTCTTATGAGGGAGTGATTGTATAATACAGTGATGTCTTTCTTCCTTCCTTCTTCCTTCCTTCCTTCCTTCTTTATTTGCTTTCTGTTTCGTTGTACTTTTTATTGCATTTTGGTTTTGTGTGTTTGTTTTCCGTTTTTTGCTTGTTTTGTTTTGGGAGGGTTTCTTTGCTGTTCTGGATGGAGCTGGTATATGTGCTTTTTAACAGTCTTGTGGAGCCAGTGTTGGGCTTGAACTGGTTACTCTGCCTGGGGCTGGGGTAGCTGCAGCCCCACACCTAGCTTGGTCATGTGTTTCTTCGTGATGGCCATCGTATGTCCACGCTGTCAGTGTGAAACATTGAAGCTGCCAAGTCAGTTAGTAATCTGCGTTCTGTCTGATATGGGCCACCTCCTCTTACAATGTATACCCTGAATGTGTGTCTGCACCATGAGGACCTTAGTCTGAGTAGTCATTTATAAAGCCCAGTAAGCTTACAGCCAAAATGTTTGGGTTTTTTGCAGAAGGAAACTCTCACTACTTAAAATAAGGTAAACACTGCCTTACTTTCTTGTGTCTTTCAGTGTTTTGGCATGCATCAGCCCGGAAGCAGTGATCTCTGGATTAAACTACATGTCGTTTACTAATGTCGGCATGAGCAGCTTAAGTCCCACTGGTGTAGATTTGAGCATGGAGGCAAATGCCATAGCTCTAAAATACTTAAATGAAAATCAGCTGTCACAACTGTCTCTTGCTCGATCAAACCAAAATAACTGTGACTCATCTTTTGGCCTTCTACATATTAATTCAGACAAAAGCACGGTGGGGCTTAGCTTAGTTTCGCCAAGCAACATGTCATTTGCAACCAAAAAATACATGAAGAGATATGGACTCTTGCAAAGCAGTGACAACAGTGAGGATGAAGAGGAGCCTCCCATCCAAACAGGTAGTGAGAGTGACCATGTGTTGGACAGAAACCCAGCATGCAGACCTGTACAATTTGGTCATCAGAAAGAGCATCGGAATGCCAGTGAAGTAGCTCAGTGTTCTAACTATGGCTCTGAGGACAAGCACATAGACGTGCCAGTGCTGAGAAGTATCACAAACGAAGCTGTGCAGTCAAGAGCAAAAGAGCACTTGAATGAAGATGCTGCTACTTCATTAAGGAATCTTAAACCAAACCCTGCAGTGAACCTCCGGACTGGAAAAGCAGAGTTTACACGACATCCTGAGAAGGAGAATGAAAGAGACATTGCAGTTTTTCCAGGGACCTTGCAGCCTCGTGAGGCTTTAAAGCAAATGAACAGCCTGAATTCCGTGGGCACCTTCTTAGATGTAAAGCGCCTCAGACAGTTACCAAAATTATTTTAACTCTTTACTCCTCCTTTGTGGTGTGAGGACCAGGTGTGTGCTGAGGGCACTTAAGGAAGCCAGACCTTTGGGAATTTTGTTTGTTTGTTTTTCCGAGATTGGGTTTCTCTGTGTATCCCTGGCTGGAATTCACTCCATAGACCAGGGTGGCCTCGAACTCGAAGAGATCCACCTGCCTCTGCCTTCCAAGTACTAGGCAGGATTAAAGGTGTGCACCATCACTGCTTGGCCATGACCTTTGGGATTTCTAATAGTTGTAAGAGTCTTGTTTCCTGTATAGTAACAGTCAGCAGGTGACCCAGTTGTGAGATGGCTGGTTAGTGGGAAGGCTGGGTTTATTCAGCATCACTGAACCTAAAGCAGAAGCAAAACAATCCTAGGATCAGGTACTGCAGCCAATCAAGTTCATGTGTATCCCCCAAACCCAGGATGTTGCTTGTGCGAATGGGCTCTGTTACTGAGTCCAGCGTCTGAGCTGCATCCTCAACAGTAAGGTTTTGGGACAGGGTCTCAGTATGTAGCCTAGGCTGGCTTCAGACTTAGAGTCCTTCTGCCTTCCGCATCTGGCTTAGGTATGCACTTTACCCAGTGTCTGCTACATAATCATAGTAAGTTTCTGAACCAAGCAATTACATTAGACACAATACTGAATAAACTGGAGAATTTTTCATTGCCTTGGTTGTTATTTGGTGAGAAGAGGCAGTGCTGGAGTTGGAACCCAGGACCACACACCTGAACTTTATACCATAGTCCATGAGGTGTTAATGTATACGTTGATTTGCATTTTCGTGTATAGATGCATGAAATTATATCACATAGCTTCCACTAACCTAAGACACGTCCTCCCTCTAAACCTACCCTGATGGTCTTTTTACCATCACCAAAATGTTTTTATCATTTTAAAAATGTTTCATGAACAGAAATGTACTTTTAAAAAATTTAGCATTATATCTTTTTCAATTTACTGTCTTCGAATAATGTCCTGAGATCTACCCATATGTTGCGTGTGTCAGTAGTTCTTTACTTATTCTTTACTTCCGCTTCCCCCAAGTTGTTTCAAATTGTCATTTCTAAGGAAAAAAGGGGTGAAAATCCTCATTCACTTGAAAGATGAAGGTTCCTGCTTAGGTTAAAATATTTTAACCTGTGCCTTGTATTAAAGTTTGGCTCATAAATAGAAAAAACAGACTTCTGTTCTCTAAATGTTTTTCCTTCTCTCTGAGACAAGGTTTATATGTTTACCCCTGACTGTCCTGGCACTCACTGTGTAGACCAGGCTGGCCCCAGACTCAGAGACCCACCTGCCTCTGCCTCCCAAGTACTTGGGATTAAAAGTGTCCACTCCGCCACCGTGGCCCCCCCCAGACAGTTACTAATAGAGAACTTTGTTGTTGTTATCAAGGCTAGGAGCCAGAGACCAGTTGGCACTCCTTTTCTTACACTGCTTCAGTCATAATCAAGACATAAGTAACCATAGTATTTCCCTGTGTTTCTACTTGGAATTTCCAGTAAGAGTAGAATTGTCAATGCCACTTAGACATATGCTCTTTTTAAATTGAGCCCTCCGAGTTTCACCCAAAAAGTGATATGGGTGCAATAATAGTGTAATATTTGTATTGCACTATAGAAAACAGAATATTAAGCCAGGTATGGTGGCACACGCCTTTAATCCTAGCTCTTGGGAGGCAAAGGCACTGGGACCTCTAGGTTCTAAACCAATGTAATCTACTTAGCAAGTGCCAGGACAGCCAAAACTACAAAGAGAGACTTCGTCTCAAAACAGAAGAGAAAAAAGGTTAATGGATTAACCAACAGCCTCAGCAACTGTCTTTTGCTATGAATTCTCTAACTTTTATGTGAAACAAGCTGTTTTTCTAGACAATACAAAGAACCTGAGGAAGAAATTAATTTACCATATTTGATTGAATGCTTCTGATAAAATGTTTATTCAAAAATGAATTTAGAGCACAGATTAATTCAACAAAAAAACATTTCTTTCAATTTAGTGCTTGTTAAGAAGCCTACTCTAGAAAGTTCTCTAAAGAAGCACTTTACTGTGGGAAGTTAGGTGCTCTCGGGTGTCTTTGGCAGAAGTGTTAGTACAGGGGAAACTGGACTAGAAGAGTAGAGTTGTTCACCCCTGGAGTAGCATTTCTTAGGATTTCTGTCTCCTAGTCTCTTGCTATTCATAAGATCATGGGTGCTGTTTTAATTGGAATACAAAAATGATGGAATTTATATTATCCAGCTTCTGCAGAATAAACTCATTGGTCTGGGTTCTGGCCAATTGGTACATTGTTTCTCCTTCAAATGTCCCTCCCTCAGGCTCTTAAGAGCCCTGCTTATTGTGTTTGTTTGTCTTCACCACCCTAGCCAGTGCTCAGTCCTGTGGAAGTCGGTGAGGACATGTTAAGTAAGCCTTGTAAAAGCTGCAGTGATTATAAAGAAAAAAGTTTTGTCGTTTGATTAGATAATGAAAAGCCGCTGTGACTGCTTCCGTCTTTTTAGGAGTTGGCTGTGTGCTCAGGGCACCGCACCAGCACTTAGTAAAACACGGATTCTTTGAAGCTTCCTGGCAGTCCTGTTGTTACCTTTTAGAATGAGATAACCCTGCTTACCCATGTAAATCACTATCCAAGTTCTAAGTTTCCTAACGCCATTGAGAAAGAAAGCCTCCCTGATGCCAGAGAAATCCAGGAAGAGCTAGCTTCCTACTGGGCATTCAGATACTACTAATACCGCGCTAAGCTGCCACTCCAGTTTCCTTCTGGAAGGATCTCTTGCCTTTAGCCAAGAGCAGAAATCACCATTTACTGAGTGTCCTAAAGGAGGCACTACCAGCTAGCTAGTTCAGGGCTGAACTAGCTGAGTCCGCTCTAAGGGCCCCAGATTAGCAGTCTGGGCTGTGTCCCTGCTCTCCCATTGTCACTGACAAGGGCAGGACTTTTACTAGCCTCCCAAATTGAGGGGCACAGTAAAGCTCAGAATGGTGCCTTGTATTTGTAGACTTTCTGCTTCCAAAGTGCTTTACCAGGCATTTCACCCCATCTTCTTAAAAAGCCTTACCAAACCTGTACAGCAGACATTTAACTCTTCTCCACAAAAGATAGAACTGAGCCAAAGTCAGTAGCCGCCATCCACAGCCTCTCGCCATCGGCAACCGCCCGCTCCATCCTTCTCTACACCTACACCTGTTGACCCTGCTAGGTATTGACCAATATGCTGAGCTTAATGATGAACGAGGCAGCCGCGTTTTGTCAGAGCTCTGACCAGGGAGTGATGCAGATAACAGCAACACAGCCAGAGAAGTGCTCGCAGTTAGACTAGTAAGACGTTAGCACATTAGAAAAAGAGAAGGAAGGTTGTTCGCAGAGTATTCTAGGAAAACGACGCTTTTTCTGGAGTCTTAGTGTCGTAAGAAAGAGAAGGAGAAATGGAATATTTTCTGTGGCAAAGCTAGGGGAGGTGAGCAGACACTGCTTTGGAGGAGGGGAACCAACAGTAGGAAAGAAAGCAGGTTGCACTGGGTTCCTGTCATCCCGATGGCCCCATACTCGACACGAGGTAGGTAACGTCGAGGTTTTGGAGATGACAGGATAACCCTGTGTGACACCCTGTGCATGACACGTTGGTACAGAAATAAGATGTAAACTAGACATGCTAGTTCACATGTTGAATCCCAGTTCCTGGGAGACAGAGGCAGGTGGATCTCTGAGTCTGAGGTCAGTCTAGTCTGCATAGAAAGTTCCAGGACAGCCAGAACTGCTTACTAGACAGACTCTGTCTCAAAAAAAAGAAAAGGGAGAGAAGGAGAACAAGAGACATGAGCAGAGCTGTCAAAGTCCAGAGGGAGGAAAGGCTTTCTGTATGGGCACGCTGGTGTCCAGCCTCATCTGAAGATCCTGAAGAACTTCCCCAGTGTAAATAAGAAAAGGTTTCCCTTTGTGTGTGTTTAATATACTTCACAATTTAAAGAAAAACAGTTGTTCCCCACCCAATCTTCATCTCCCCCCCCAAAAAAAAAAAAGAACTGGAGGAATGCTGTCTGAAAGGAGACCATTCCTCTGACTTTCACATTACCTTTTTAAGTGAGAGAAAGCTCCACTGAAAGGTGCCTGGGAGTGTGGAGGCCTAGGTGATGACCCCACATCCCTCATCTCCCCTAACCGGAGCCAGCCGTCTGGGTCATGTGGGAACATCCTCAAAGGAAATCCTGCTTTCCCACTTCCTGGCCAGAGGCTCAACTCCAGGAAGAGGATGGATTTGGGGAGAGCTGTGTCCTGCCTCTTTATGGGAGGTCTGGGGCCAGGACCAGGACGAGGGCTCTGAGGGCTCTCGTTAAAAACAATGGGAGGGATGACACCAGGTATCCACGGAGTCAGAGCTGCTCTGTCTCCATTTGCATCTGAGGACACAGCCAGAGGAGAGAAGGGACTTGGTCTGGTTCACAGTGCAGGGTGTACTACAGCAGGTCCACAGCATGGTGGTAACTGTCTCAGACCTGAGCAAGTTAGCCATCAAGCGGTCAAGCCCAGGTCCTCAACTGAAGCCTGACATTCCAGAAATGGAAAAAGGCAGTACACACTCAGAGCTCCAGACTTTACTCATATCCCTGACCTTCCTTCCAAACCCAGCTCTGATGCTCCCCTCATATTCTTCCCTCCATCTTACAGACTTGGAGGCCTCCAGTGGGAGTGCTGTTTTTCCTTTGTTGAAACTCCACAGCCCTTTCTCTGCCCCTCTCGTCCTCGTAAACCATCTTGCATGTGTATCCATGGCTATGAGCACTCTCTGGTGTAGGATTCCCTTGTCCAGTGAAGAGCCACATGTAAAACATTTTTTCTTCCCCCTTCCTCAGGGCAGAGGCCTGTGGTAGGCAGGAACTTAGGTTCCCTAAAGCACAAGCCTTACCTTGATAAGGTGGCGTCAGTTCTCAGCTGAGGTTGGGAGTGCACTCCAGCTGAGCCTCTCCTGATGAGTGACTCCACATTTCCCACGCCTGACAGAGGGCTTGGACTGCTTGCCCTGCCCCCACCAGCACGTAACTGACTGGAGTTAGGGCTGGGCGACTCGATAGAAACTTGCACTTTCCTGCTCCACCAGATGGGGGCACCACCCAGACTAACTGTCTGCACAGGCCAAAGGCTGGTTTTAGGGCCAAGGCAACTTTTTTTTTTTTTTTTTTTTTTTTTTTTTTTTTTTTAGCAATGAGAAGGTGTTCTATCCTTAGTTAACGGGTTGCTGGGAATCAGACCCAGGGATTCAGCATGCCAAGCGCTCTACGAACTGAGTGATTTTCCAGCCCCAACCAGGAGTCTCGGACCTTCCTGCAGCCTGCTACCCTAGAAAGGCGCTTTCACCCCTGTATCCAGGCAACCAGGGTAGCGTCCGGCACAAACTAGCCCTGTAGGAAATGAATGGCCAAAGCTGGATTTGCTTCGTCCTGGCTCACTCACCGTCCTCAGAGCCACAGTCAATCCGAGTTTCTCACCATCCTCAAACGTGCCTTCTGCTTCCTGCTGCTGGGTCTTTCTTCTTGCTCCTGATCTTCCCTCTCTGTCCCTATCACATCCCAAAGCAGAGGCACCAGGGTGAGGCCCTGTCTGACATATATCCTCTCCCGAATTCCCAGCGCCTTTAACATCCCTCTCTAGCAGAACACGTATCAGGCTGCATGGTAACTCTTTGCTTCTGCTTCCTCCACACCTGAATATAGGGTCTAAACAGAGTAAGGCTCATTTAAAAAAAGAAAAGAAAAAAGAAAAAGAAAAACACTAATCACTCTGTTCCTTCAATGTCCCAGGCCCAGTGCTTTCTGCACAAGTGTCAGCCTGTTCATCAACCCTGCGAATAGCGGTGTTTCTAGAGAAGAAGCTGAGGCACAGAGCAGTTGAGGAGAGTCTCTTCTAGCTCAAGAGTGTCCTGATGATCAGTTATTCACCCCTAACTATGCTAAGAGGTCATGCCCTGGGGTGTGGTACCCAGGTCTGTGTAGAGG